GGGCCTAAGCTCGGCGTCGTCTCTGTAAAGAAGTGCGGCGCCATATTTCGCCTGGAGTACTGGCGCCGGGAGTCAGCCGCTTGGGTCAGGGTTCTGCGTTGGCTCTAGTTTTTTTTTTTTTTTTTCTTTCTCGTTCTTTCTTTCGTTCTTTCTCTCTCTGTCTCTCTCTTTTTTCTTTCTTTCCTTTTTTTCTCTTTTGTGAGGCGGAGTCTGGCTCTGTGGCCCAGGCTGGAGTGCGGTGGCGCAATCTCGGCTCACTGCAAACTCTGCCTCCCGGGTTCACGCCGTTCTCCTGCCTCAGCCTCCCGAGTAGATGGGACTACAGGCTCCCGCCACCACGCCCGGCTAATTTTTTGTATTTTTAGTAAAGACGGGGTTTCACCCTGTTAGCCAGGATGGTCGCGACCTCCTGACCTCCTGATCTACCCGCCTCGGCCTCCCAAAGTGCTGGGATTACAAGCGTGAGCCACCACGCCCGGCCCAGTCTGGATATCTTTTAAAAAGGCGAGGTTGGCTGAGGAGCCAGCAGCGCAGAAATGGATGTAAGTGGGTCGGGTTCTCTTCTTCTCAACCGAAGCCCTTACTTAGGGCTTATAATAAGGTCTGAGGACAGGCATGGCTTGGGTGACTGTTAGAAATACGTAATCTCAGGCCTCCTGAATCAGAATCTTCATTTTGATAACATCCCTAGGTGATTTATGCGCGCGTTAACGTTTCAAAATGGCTGCCGTACGCTTCCCAAGATTTTGTGTTTAGGAGACAGTGTTGACATCTGCATTTGGCTGTGCAGATGGTGGCCTATACTGCAAACCTAATGAAGACAATAAGACTCGAGACTTGTGAGTCACACTCTGGATCTTTATGACCTCTTAGACATCACTGGTCACCTAATCAGGATGATATAACGAAAGTTGTGATGTGGGGTGCTATAGGTAGAAAACCTGCAGTGAACATGGGTGCTTGAGAATGTGCAGAAGCACCCAGGAAAGGTGTAAAAAGAGGTGTTCAGTCAACCTGAGGTGGAAAGAAAAGGCGGAATGTGTATTAGGGATGCATGGGTTTATTCACCAACTTGGCATCCCACAGACATTGTCTCTAACCAAGGAACCCAACTTATAGTAAAAGTGACATGGTAGTCAGTTTCCAGGATGACTCTCAATGATGCTAGCCTTGCGTAATCCCTTCCCACATTGAATTCGTCTGATAGACTCAGCAATAGTGGATATAAGAAATGATGTATGACATCTGGAGCTGGGTGGTACAAGATACTGTAACTTCCATCTTGCTCTCTTGAAGCACTTGCTCTGGGGGAAACAAACTATGTGTGAGAACATGTCTCATTAGCTCTATGAAGAGGTCCATGTGAGAAACGGAGGCTTCCAGCTGACAATAACGTGAAGGAGCCATCCTGGAATCCCATCCTTCAGCCTCAGTCAGGCCTTCAGATGACTGAGCTGCTGCTGAAAACTTAACTGCAATTTCGTGAGAAACTGTGTTCCAGAACCATTCAGCGAAACAACGGCCAGATTCAGGACTCACAAGATTTGCGTGAGAGAAATGTTTACTGTTTGAAATTGCTAAATTTTAGAATAATTTGTTACGCAACAATAGGTAATTAGCACAAGGGGTCCAACTGGTGTCCGTGGGATTCATGGGTATTGTACACCATCAACACAAGCAGCTGACGTTATGGCATAGTGAGATGGTTTTTTAAACACTCAGTTTTGGCACCATTTGAAGCTACCCTATAAGTTTTGGGTGCTGTTTTACGGTTATTGTAAGATTCATACCAGTGGACAATATATGCGGAACTTTTTCTCAGCCAGGAATTTATAGAGCAAGGAAACGAGGGGTACAAGTGGACATGTCTTCTTGTAATACCTAGTGATTTACTTGCAAAATTTTGTTTCTTATCCTGGAAACACCGGACTTTGTAGAGACTTCTTGCTGGCCAATTTGGGCTCCATTTGTTACTGAAAAAACTCACCAAAAAGGCGATTCTAACATTGTTATGGCTTTGACTATCAACAGAACATAGTTCTGCAGCTTCACAGGGGTAGCAAAGAGGATTATGGATAGAAAAATCTCAGAGAATTCTGGAGTTCACATGTTCATTGATAACATGAAAAACTGGAACAATCTTATACATTATAAGCAGGACTATAAGGAGGCCAAATCTCTCAGACATGAAAGTTTTGGGTGATTACGTCAGATTAAAAAACAACCTGGAACAGCTGAGACATTGGCTAAAGACAAGGAAAAGGAATTAGCTTGTGGACGAGAATAATTATTAATATCAACTAAGGGTTTGTGGCTACCTGCAGAAATAAAGATTACATTATTTGTTCATATTTTCCTCCTTTTTTTCCTTTCTGTTTTCTCCATATTTTATATACACAGGATGTGTAGTTCTTGGTTAGCTTTCAAGCTGGATTCAGAAGTTTCAGAATGTCAGGATGGGATCACGATTGGAGTACAGGGGATCCTCTTATGGACCTTGATGGAGTAACTGATGGGACTTTGCATTGTTTCCTATTGTGGGAAATATAGCTGCACTATGTTAGGCCAGATTGTTTCTTTGGGGTAAATTGGTAAGAGGGTTATGTATTTATATGCAACTGAAGGGATGGATTTTAGTGAGCATTTATCATGTTTTTGGCTTCTGAATTTCTGCAACTCCTTCCAATGCTTAGGTAATCTGTTGCCTCATAACTATTGGGAAAATAACTTACTTCCTATAAAACAGGAAATCCAGAATAACTGATTTCCCAGTCTCTCTTGCCCCAAAGATGTGGGCATGTGACTGCCCATCAGATACCGCTGACTCAGCCTTTGGCACAAGGAAGAAGAGACCAAGAGGAACCTTTTCTGGCAGTGGTAGCCATTGCAGCAAGATAGATTCCTGGGGCAGCAGTGGCAGCAGTGCTACTAGTGTCACCTCATGGACAGTGATAACTGTGTCAGAACTATGAACGGCAACATTTATGCTTGGAGGCAGCAACTGCATTGGTATTATTTTTTTCACTATAGCTGCTGTGTGGTCTTCCGAGCCTGGTTCTCCAGCTGCCCAGGGTTTTTGAAAGGTATTCATTATTATTTTCATGAAATCCTTTCCTGCTTAACTCAGCAAGAGTTGGTGTTTGTTATTTGCAACTAAGAACTGCGAATGAGGCCAGAATGTAGCCAGTCATTAGAAAATGACTTGAACTGTGAACTGGACAGCCATCTGTACTTTCTCCAGCTCTTCTCTCTGTGTGTTTACATCTTTTGCTCTTATCTATAGACGTTTGCTTTTTATCCATCTGTAAGTCAGCCAAAAGACAATTGCAACCTTCTGGGATTACTCGTTACAGGCCAAGTCCTAGTGAGTATGATCCGTGGGCCCTCGGTCCCAGTTCCAATTGCCCTAATCCAATCATGAATCCTCACTGGGAAGAGGATGATAGAGTATAAACTGGGCTGCTGGAGTCCATACACCTATGGATTAGGGGGCCATTTTCAGAAAAGGCTGACCCAATGTGAGCTGGGAAGGCATCCCTAAATGAAGTCTACTTTAGGAACATGGAGTTCTTCAGTCATGGCATGCTGTGCATTTCCTGATATATTCTCCCATTACAAAAAGGGTATCCTTTACACCAAATGCTTTAAAAGATTAAACACAGGCCGGATACGGTGGCTCACGCCTGTAATCCCAGCACTTTGAGAGGCTGAGGCGGGCAGATCACCTGAGGTCAGGAGCTCAAGATCAGCCCGACCAACATAGTGAAACACCGTGTGTACTAAAAATACAAAAAGTAGCTGGGCGTGGTGTTGCGCACCTGTAGTCCCCCCTACTTGGGAGGCTGAGGTGGGAGAATCACTTGAACCCAGGAGACAGAGGTTGCAGTGAGCCGAGATCATGCCACTGCACTCCAGCCTGGGCAACAGAGCTAGACTCCGTCTCAAAAAAAAAAAAATTAAGCACAACTCTGCAATGCCACCCTTACACCTGCCCCACCCCAGTCTCTGCATCCCCATCAGCAAACGCATCAAGTCAATGCAGTAAATGACCATATATGTGAAAAAAAAGGGAAGGGTTCAGATAACACTGCTATAATCTCAGCTTCTGAGCTAGGAAGTTAAGAAGAACAAACTTCTGATAACCAACTTTTCAAACCTGTAAACATAAGCCCAGATCAGCAAAGTGATGCAATTTGAGGTCTCAGTGAATTTTCTTTGGGACTTAGCTCCACCAAGATTGCTTTATCTCCAAGTTCTGACCCAGTAGTTAGAGAATATACTTTGCCATCATTGCTGGGTACCAAAGGACCAAGAAATAGGTGGGATAATTCATTTCTGCTTGTCTCTAATGAGACTGTCAGGGAGTCTAGTCCCAGTGGCTATGGAAGCTACTGTAAATACCCGTTTGTGATTCTCCCAAACATTCATCCTGCACAGAGGGATAAGGCCATGAACATCTGCTCTTCACTTGCTCAGGACTTGCCTGTATTTCTAAGACTTTGCCATCCTTAGAATAATTAGGAGCATTAACTAAGTTCTTTCAAGGTAAGATTATAACAGCAGATATATATGACTAATGACTGGAGTTCTTTGAGAGAGCTTCTTTTCTAAATATGCCACATCGAGGGAGAAATAATAAGAGTCCTGAATCCATCAGCTGGAGCTTGACACAGACATAGTAATAATCAGCTGTTTTGCCTCTCTATGAGTGCCTAGGGGGTGGGAGAAGCCTGGAAATATTAAAAGAGACCTGCATAATCGCACAGGAGGGCTGTGTATGGATCTGCATGTTGTTTTGTGTTATATTTTATAAAATTGAAAGAGTGAATATACGAGGACCCACATCATCCAGGACTGGACATTGGAAGTTGGGGGTGTAGGGATGAGGGGTAGATCCTAACTAGGTGACCCTAATACAGGTTTGTTAACATGGCCATGGTTGAAGCTTGACTTGTTGCATCTGGAGCCTCAGCTTCTACATTGCTGATCTCTGTCTGTCTTATCTGCATCTGGGATCAGGCCCATGAGCAGGACAAACCAGTCGAGCGTCTCCGAGTTCCTCCTCCTGGGACTCTCCAGGCAGCCCCAGCAGCAGCATCTCCTCTTCGTGCTTTTCCTGAGCATGTACCTGGCCACCGTCCTGCGGAACCTGCTCATCATCCTGGCCGTCAGCACAGACTCCCGCCTGCACACGCCCATGTACTTCTTCCTCAGCAACCTGTCCTTTGTGGATGTCTGCTTCTCCTCCACCACCGTCCCCAAGATGCTGGCCAATCACATACTTGGGACTCAGACCATCTCCTTCTCTAGCTGTCTCATGCAGATGTGTTTTCTCTGTATGTTTTCTGACATGAACAATTTCCTCCTGGCTGTGATGGCCTATGACCACTTTGTCGCTGTGTGCCACCCCTTACATTACGCAGCAAAGATGACCCATCAGCTCTGTGCCCTGCTGGTCACTGGATCACGGGTGGTTACCAACTTGAATGCTCTGCTGCACACCCTGCTGATGGCTCAACTCTCATTCTGTGCAGACAACACCATCCCCCACATCTTCCGTGATGTGACTCCCCTCCTGAAACTCTCCTGTTCAGACACACACCTCAATGAGTTGATGATTCTTACTGAGACTGCCGTAGTCCTGATCACCCCATTTCTTTGCATCCTGGCTTCCTATATGCACATCGCCTGTGCCATCTTGAGGGTCCTATCCATGAAGGGAAGATGGAAAGCCGCCTCCACCTGTGGCTCCCACCTGGCTGTGGTTCTCCTCTTCTGTGGTACCATCATATCTCTGTATTTCAGTCCTTCATCCTCCTACTCAACTCAGAGAGATATAGCAGCTGCTGTGATGTTCACAGTGGTGACTGCCATGATTAATCCCTTTATCTACAGCCTGAGGAACAAGGACATAAAAGGGGCTCTTGTAAAAGTGATTGCTGTGAAATTCTTTTCTGTTCAATAATGATACGGGCTAAGAAATTCCTAGAAGGAGCTAATTTCCGAGATGATCCTGTTTTTCTACTGTATGAAACTTAGCATTGTGTGTTTGTTTTGAGACGGAGTCTCACTCTGTCACCCAGGCTGGAGTGCAGTTGTGCGATCTTGGTTCACTGCAATCTCTGCCTCTTGGGCTCAAGAGATTCTCCTGCCTCAGCCTCCTGAGTAGCTGAGATTACAGATATGTGAAACCAATTTTTTTTTTTTTGTATTTTTAGTAGAGATGGATGGGGTTTCACCATGTTGGTCAGGCTGGTCTCGAAATCCTGATCTCAAATGATCCACCCGCCTTGGCCTCTCGAAGTGCTGGGATTACAGATGTGAGCCACCACGCCTGGCCAGCATTTGTTTTTATAAGAGAAACATCTGGTATCTATTTTGGGAGAACAAAACCCTTGATATAGACTCTTCAGGTTAAAGATGGAAAGAGAGATCCTTTAATTAAATGACCCCACAATCCCAATTGTCAATGCCCTCCTGCCAAAACCAAGAAGGAACACACCTGTAGTTCAGTAAGTTGGATTTACTACTCATTATAACAAGGGAGAATACACAGCATTGGAAATAGTGAGGTGTCTCATTGGAAGAGTCCTAAAAAGGACCTCTGCTTTTGTAATGTTGGTGAGGAATTAGGAATAAGTTTGTGCTCTGGAGTAGATGCCATTACAGAATAGGGATAATTCTGAAAGGGTATCTTAATATATTTTATCTAGAAGGAAAGAAGAGGCCAAAGCTGTGATTGCCAAAGGAACATTAGTCACTCATTTCAGCCAGCATAGGGGGATGTTTGGTTATTTTTGTGGCTATGACAATGTCATGTTTTTGTGATGAGACATCATTGCAGAATGGTCTTGCTTTGTTTTGCTCTAGCACAGTCAGAGTGTGGCCTTATTAGATACTGATGTTCAGTGAAATTCTCTATGTTTATCAGTAGAACACAAAAACCTTGCTGTGAGGGCCAGGCCAACTCCTATCAGGGTTGTTTACTCTTTCTCACAACAGAGACCTTGACACAAAAACATCTGATGGAAAGATCAGACTTTTGTTGGGGCAGGAAGGGGAGGATTTATTTATTTAATTTTTTTAAATTTTTATTTTATTTTTAGACAGAGTCTCACTCTGTTGCCCAGGCTGGAGTGCAGTGGCGCAGTCTTGGCTCACTGCAACCTCTGCCTCCCAGGTTGAAGTGATTCTCCTGATTCAGCCTCCTGAGCAGCTGGGAATACAGGTGCGTGTCACCACTGGCTAATTTTTGGTATTTTTAGTAGAGCTGGGTTTTCACTGTGTTAGCCAGGATGGTCTCCATCTCCTGACCTTGAGATCTGCCAGTCTCGGCCTCCCAAAGTGCTGGGATTACAGGTGTGAGCCACTGCGCCCAGTCAAGAGAAGGATTTATTTAGAGTTTCAGAAAGCCCTAATTCTGCCACTAATTTGAGCAGGCACTCTCACACTGTCATGCTGGAGTCAACTTCCCATTTATTCTGATTTTATTTTATTTTTTAAAGAGACGAGCCCAGCACTTTGGAAAGCCAAGGTAGGAGGATCACTTCGGCCCAGGAGTTTGAGGCCATCATGGACAACATAGCAAGACCCCGTTTCTACAAAAATAAAAATAATTAGCTGAGTGAGGTGGCATGTCCCTGCAGTCTCAGATACTTGGGAGAGTTAGGTAAAAGGATCTCTTGAATCTAGGAGTTCAGGGCTGTAGTGAGCTATGATTACAGCTCTGTACTCCAGCCTGGGTGACAGAGTGAGACCCTGTTTCTTTAAAAAAAAAAAAAAAAAAAAAAAAAAAAGGATGTGGTCTCAGTAAGTTGCCCAGGCTGGTCTCTAACTCCTGGATTCAAGGAATCCTCCCACCTCAGCTTCCAGAGTAGCTGGGACTACACTCACATGCCACCATGCCATCTTGATACTGCTTTTTAGATTTTAAAAATAATTTTTTTTTTTGAGACGGTATCTCACTCTATAGCCCAGGCTAGAGTGCAGTGGCACAATCTCAGCTCACTGCAACTCCGCTTTCCCCCGGGTTCAAGCAATCCTCCTTCCTCAGCCTCCTGAGTAGCTGGGACTACAGATGCCTGCCACCACACCCGGCTACTTTTTGTATTATTAGTAGAGATGGGGTTTCACCATGTTGGCCAGGCTGGTCTTGAACTCCTGACCTCAGGTGATCTGCCTGCCTCGGCCTCCCAAAGTGTTGGGATTACAGGCGTTAGCTACCACACTCGACCAAAAATTTTTATTTTATTTTTTTGTAGACAGGGTCTCACTATGTTGCCCAGGCTGGTCTTGAACTCCTGGCCTCAAGCCATCCTCCTGATTCGGCTTCCCAAAGTGCTGGGATTACAGGCATAAACCACCATGCCTGGCCTCCCTCTGCTCGTTTGATACACCTAAAATGGTATCTTGTTCTTTCAATTTATAATTCTTAGATTATGTAAGTCTGAACACCCTTTCATGTTTTTCAGCCACTCATTTCATTATCTAAAAATGGTCTGTTTCTGTCTTGTTACTGTCTGTGTGTCCCAGAGCCCTCATTCTCTTCTAGAATCCTTTGGTTCCTGAAGTGGTCAGTTTGTAGCCAGGTACACATGTGCGAGAGATTCTGGACCTCTGTCCGCTCTACCTCCAGGAAACTCCATAGGCTGTGAGTCTAGCGCTGCGTCTTCAGGGGATTGGTATTTTCTGTAGTTACTTACTTAGTATTTATGAGACAGAGTCTCGCTCAGTCTCCCAGGCTGGAATGCAGTGGCGCGATCTTGGCTCACTGCAAGCTCTGCCTCCCGGGTTTTACGCCATTCTCCTGCCTCAGCCTCCCGAGTAGCTGGGACTACAGGCGTGCACCACCTACGCCCTGCTAATTTTTTTGTATTTCTAGTAGAGACAGGGTTTCACCGTGTTAGCCAGGATGGTCTCAATTTCCTGACCTCACGATCCGCCCGCCTCGGCCTCCCAAAGTGCTGGGATTACAGGCGTGAGCCACCGCGCCCGGCCTATTTTCTGTAGTTACTACTGGAATTGGATCTTTGGTCTCTTACATTTTCCAACTCTCGCTCTACTGCTGTAAAACTATTAGCTGTTGTCTACTTTTTCAGTTTCACTGGTGATCAGGCTCCTTAGGTATGAGAACTCCGACAACTTTCCAGGGGCTCTCGAGTTAGGAGGCCGTACCTGGTCCTGGTCGGGGCACTCCTCTCAGTCCCACCCGGCCCCACTGGTGCGGAAGGAAACCCTGAGGCCTGTGTCCTGCCCTCTGGGACACTGGGTACGGATTGACAGCAAACCTAACCATGGGCACCTCCCCAGTGCAGGAGATGGTGTGCGTCATGGTGGCTTCACTCACCTACACTTAAAAAAACAAAAGCTACTCAGGAGGCTGAGGCAGGAGGATTGCTTGAGCCTAGGAAGCAGAGGTTGCAGGGAGCCAAGATCGCCCCACTCCAGCCTTAGCAACAGAGCCAGTCTCAAAAAAAAAAAAAGTGTCTTGGGTACTGTGCCACAGCTGCATGAGGACTGATAAAAACCCCGACTCTGGGCAGGGGTGCCAAAGAGTGAGTGAGTGGAGACTCTCATCACTCACTGCCTGGCAGCTACTTTTCTGGGTACACAGGCAGGTCCCCTGCACATGGTAACAGCTTGCCGGCTCTGGAAACACAGTTTGGGATCCCAGTCCTACAGCACTGGCCAGAATTTCAAGTAAGCGAGTAACGTTGTGGGCAGCCAGTTTTGTTGGCTTTGCTGGCTTTACAGGGTACTTACTGTTGGCTTGAAATATAACATTGGTAAAGACAGTTTTTTTGTGGCCTTTCTCTGTTGTGGAGGATTTATTTTTAAATTATGACTCAGGACTAAACTGTATCATAGAATGTCCTTCTTTCAGAATGCTTTGTGCCAAAACAAGAAACTTCAGAATTACATGTTAATAACAACAAACAAAACAAAAAAGACCAGTAGGCAGAAGGCAAGAAACAAAACTATTCTTTGTAGATGGTGTCATTTTACCAAAAGTTGTAACAGAAGTAAACCAAGAAACTACTGAAAATTAACAACAAATTAACAACATTCAGTAAGGTGACTAGTTACACAAATATATAATAAAAAATAACTTTCCCATGTAAAAGCAATAATCAACTATAAAAATATGGAAAAAACTACAATAACAAAATTGTGTAAAACGTGAAGAAAATTAGAAAAATTTTCACAGGAATATAATACTCTAATAAATACAAAGGCATGTTTCTGGATGGGAAACATACACTATAATTTTTCCCAAATTATTTATAGGATTTCTTTCTTCCAATCAAAACACCAATGTATAACCTCCAGAAACCTAAAGCAAGCAAAACTGATCAAGAATCCCTAAATCGCACCACAGGATTGGTCCCGTAAAGGCACCGCTGGCCTTGCTTCTAGGCAGAGGACAGGAAGGTCTGGATATCAGAGGCTGAAGACAATGAATACCCACTACAGTGAAGACACCTGGAAACCTGTCTCTTGAGGGGCAATGTGAGCTAACCACTACAGACCTAATTTCTAAATATACAACACTTTGCCTTGTGAGGTAGTGAACACCCCATTGCCAAAGGTCTGATGACGGCATAGAGGGAACCTAAGCATGTGGTAAGGTTATTGATGAGACATGGATCCAAGCCAACTTTTTCCTGCCTCCAGGTCAACCCCTCCTCTCTGGGTCTTGGGGTTTCCTTCCTAGCACATGAGATCTGGGCTCAACAGAGGGACAAGATTCTGAAAAGCTTTTCTAGTGGTGGGGCTGGATGGCCCTGCCTGAGTAATCCAAACTTCTTTTAGCAAGGGAGAAGCATGAGACGCCTGTTGGAGAGATCAATAGCTGAACAAAATACAGTAAGAACAGTAGACAAATTATGTTGTGAAAAGGAATCTGTAAAAGTCAATTTTATCACAAATTGAAATTGATTGCAAATTTAGATCACATACAAATGAGAGTCTGACATTCAATTGTTGTTTTCCTATATTCCAAAGTAAACAATTCCTTTCAACACCCAAGACTTAAAACAGGTGTTCTTAGAGGGTTATATGAATTGCTATCAGAAGCTGTTGGCTCAACAAGCCAGTAGTTTGGTTCTTTCACGAGAACACAGTTCCAGATAAGCATCTTTGCACTATTTCTCAAGTATGAATCCCCATGTGGGGGAAAAATGGATATACTTCCAATAGACACAAGTCACTCTTTGCCTTGCAAGTAAGCAGACTCCAGATTCATCTTCAAAGTCTTGGGAAAGGGATCTGTGACCTGTACATTATCATATGACTTCAAAAAGGAAAGGTCCTTAGTCCAGAAAGCCTAGATGCTGAGGTATAGCCCTTGAAATGTTTTCTTCCCTGTGAATTTTCTAGCAATTTGAGGTTTTAGCCAAGATGGGCATTTATCCAATTTTGGCAATAATGAGATTTTTACATATTTATATCTTTTTAGGCAGCCTGGGAATTCAGAAATACTTATGAAAGCTCTCAGGTTGAGGCAGCACCATCAGACCCCTTTCCTGGTATTACTTCTGCTTTCGAGTCTTACAGGCTGAGTGGGTTTTCTCATGCCGGGTACAGTTTGACAGCCGACCAAATCTTCTCCCACATTTTTTGCAACCATATGGTCTCTCAGCCTCATGACTCTGCAGATGAAGCACAAATTCCTCATTCTTTGGGAAGGTTTTCCCACATTCTGGACACTTAAATATCTTCTCCCTTATATGGATTCCTTCATGACGGCTCCGATGAGAATTCTGACGAAAGTTTTTTCCACACTGAGAACAGGAATAAGGTTTCTCTCCTGTATGAATTCGCTCATGTTTATTGAGGTTTGTTTTATGATTGAAGCTTTTCCCACAGTGACTACAGTCATAGGGTTTTTCTCCAGTGTGAGTCCTCTGGTGGGAAATAAGGTAAGAACTTTCATTAAACTGTTTCCCACACAGTGGACAAGTGTACCATCTCCTTGTCTTCCGATTTCGAGTAAGTGCAATAATACTGATGTCTACATATTTTGAGAGTTCCTCTAGAGGAGCATCATTCTCAAGGGTAACTAACAGATTTCTCATTTTCCTTTTTTGTGGAATGGATGTATTTAGTCTTTCCTTTTCCTGGTTATCTGGAGGCTGCTGAGAGACCAAGGAAGAATCCATTTCATCATCATCTGAAGACTTTTCTCTATAATCTTCATTTTCTACAAGTTCCCTCTCAGGATCTTCACCTTCAGGATTACTGCCATTGACTGTTCAAAGAAAGATAATTTAACAACTTCTGAGAGATATGACATCAGGCAGGAAAAAACAAGTCATGTGTCTTAAGCCAGAGCCACCTTTAAAGTCAATCTGAGGAGTGGCGGATACTGCCATCGCACTCCTTTTCCACACTTATTGAGGGTGGGATACATAACTCATAAATCTTTCCATCTACCACAACGCAAGCACACTTTAAAGAAATAAAAAAAATGAGTGGGATTTCACAGAAAGAATTCGTATGTTTGTTCTCTTCATAGGTGTTACTCAACAAGTTCATATTCACCTTATACTCTGCAGAGCACTCAGCTAAAGACTAGGGATGAAGACTACAAATCTATACACGGCACCACTCATCATCTTGAAGGAGTCTGGTAACTGAATAGTAAGATGAACCACTTGTAGGTTTTCACTATATTAAATATTATCACACTATTATAGCACTAAATAATATTACAATGTCTTACAATGAGAAAATGGAAACAATTCCAATAACCCAAATTAAAGAGGGCACAGCATATTCATACAAAAGCTTATTATTGGCCAGCCGTTGTGGCTCACGCCTGTAATCCCAGGACTTTGGGAGGCCAAAGTGAGCAGATCACCTGAGGTTGGGAGTTTGAGACCAGCCTGACCAACATGGAGAAACCCTGTCTCTACTAAAAATACAAAATTATCTGGGCATGGTGGCACATGCCTGTAATCCAAGCTACCAGGCAGGTCGAGGCAGGAGAATCACTTGAACCTGGGAGGCAGAGTTTGCAGTACGCTGAGATCATGCCATATGCACTCCAGCCTGGGCAACAAGAGCGAAACTCTGTCTCAAAACAAAAAAAAGTTTATTCTTTGGCGATTAAAGAGATTACTACAACTAAAGCAGCTTTGGGATTAGAAGTCAGTAGTGTTTCTCTTTGGGTAGGAAAGGAAGTAGTGACTGGGTGCAGGGCACAAAAGGGATTTCTGGGATAAGAAAAGTCCCCATTTTGGGTGGTGATTAGTGTGTACAAAATTTTGTGAAAACTTCAGCTATATATTTATGATTGGTAGGCTTTTTCTATATTTCTATAATACTTCAGAAAAAAGTCAGTGTAAGCAGACTATAAAGATTAGGTAACAAAGTGAAAAACAAGCATGCTCTGGACATACTTGTGTGACAAGGGACCCCTCAACTCTGGACTACTCAGAGTCAAGGGTTCAAATTAACCGCCAAGACATGGGGCTGATCCTGAAGCTGGAGTAGGAATCTCTGCTGGATTTCGCAGTTTCACACCAATACATTTTTTTTTTTAATTTCACTTTTTTTGAGTTTTTTGGGCAGAGATAGGGTCTTGCTATGTTGCCCAGGCTGGTTTTGCACTCGTGTACTCAAGCAATCTTCCCAAAGTGCTGGGGATTACAGGTGTAAGCCACCACACCCAGCCTTAATTATTCTTTTTAATCACTCCCTTAGGATAATGAAATGCCAATTTTTACCACAGCTCTTGACATGAACTACCATTCTGCTTTCAAAAGCAGCTCTACTAATTTCAATGCAACCATCAATACGTGAATATTAACTTTACCTAATCTTGTTAGCATTAAATTTTGAAATAATAGGTATAAAATGGTTTCTCATTGTAGTTTTACTTTGGATTTTGATTATGCAAATAATCTATTGGGTTAAGACTTTTATAAATGTAAATCTTTGTCAATGATTTCTTGTTTAATTTTTAACTGAACTCTTCCTCTTTAACTACATTTGGATTGCTTCCAACCTTGTGTTTTTACAAACAATACCACAGCAAATAATCTTGTTTGTACATCATTTCAAATGTGCTCTGTTGCTGTATCTGTAGGTCAGATTCCCAGAACTGAACTGCTGGAACAAAGGGTAAGATGGGTAGTTACAGATGCATTTACCCTTAAACAGGGACTGTACCATTTTGTATGCCCACCAGCAATATACCTGTTTCTTAACCTCACCATCAATGTGTTTTTATTTCTATAAATATGAAATACAAAAATGTTAATTCACTAGAGGTTTAATTTGCACTTCTTTTTGCTCCTGTCACGCAGGCTGGAGTGCAGTGGCGCAATCTTGGCTCACTGCAACCTCCACTTCCCGGGTTCAAGTGATTCTCCTTCCTCAGCCTCCCGAGTAGCTGGGATTATAGGCATGCCCCACCAAACCCAGCTAATTTTTGTATTTTTAGTAGAGATGGGGTTTTACCATGTTGGCCAGGCTCGTCTCACAACTCCTGACCTCAGGTGATCCACCTCCCTCGGCCTCTCAAAGTGCTAGGATTACAGGCGTGGGCCACCATGCCCAGCCTTGTTTATGTATTTGAATCTGTCAATCTTTTCTTTCAAGGCTTCTGGGCTTTTGAGTCTTAATTACAAAAACCTTCCTATCCCATGGTTATAAAGGAATCACTCATATTTTCTAAATGTGCTTTTTATATTTGTTTTAAACATTTAAAATCTTTGATCCATGTGGACTTTTTCTTGGGATGTAAAGTGAGGTACTAATTTATCAAATGGCTATCAGTTGTCCTAACACCTTTTATCAGAAAGTCCCTCTTTATGGTTAGGCTTTGTGTCCTCACCCAAATCTCATCTTAAATTGTAATCCCCATAATCCCCACATGTCAAGGAGAGACCACTCAGGTGAAGGTAACTGAGTCATGGCAGGGGCTTCCCCCATGCTGTTTTCATGATAGTGAGTTCTCATGAGATCTGATGGTTTTATAAGGGGCTCTTCCCCCTTTACTTGTACTTCTCCCTCCTGCTGCCTTGTGAAGAAGGTGCCCTGCTTCCCCTTGCCTTTGCCATGGTTTTAAGTTTCCAGAGGCCTCCTCAGCCATGCTGAACTGTAAGTCAATTAAACCTGTTTCTTTATAAATTACCAAGTCTCGGACAATTCTTTATAGCAGTGTGAAAATGGACTAATACACCAACTTTATCACACACTAAACTCCCATGTGTATTTGAGGCTATTTTGGGACTTTCTGAGATCACACTGTCTTGTTCCAAGGGAAAAATGCTATTGGTATTGTTGAAAAAAAAAATGACATCAGATTCATAAATCAACAAGAGAAATGACCATTTTACGATATTGTCTTCCTAGCCAAGAACATAGTATTTTTTTGCATTCATTGAAATCTACTCTTCTGTCCTTTAGACTTGTTTTAAAGTTTTCTCATAAATTTGCACATTTCTTGAGTTTTACTCCTAAGTATTTAAACTTTCATGTTTCTATTCTAATGGGGCCTTCCATTGTATCTTCTAAATGAACTTGTTTATATATGTGAAAGCCAATGATTTCTGTTTATTCACTTTATCTCCCACTACTTTAGTGAATGGTCTCATTTTTTCCCTTTAGAGTAGTTAAGACAAATAAATGTTCTTAAGTTTTCAGATTACTCTGTTCTACCTATTAAGGAAGTATCCGTTAATTACTATTTTGTTAAATGTTCTTATAAAGAAGAGGCTTGAATTTTGTCACGTATCTTTTCTTTTTCTTTTTTTTTTTTTGAGACAGAGTCTCACTCTGTTGCCCAGGCTGGAGTGCAGTGGCACAGTCTTGGCTCACTGCAAGCTCCGCCTCCTGGGTTCACGCCATTCTCCGGCCTCAGCCTCCCCAGCAACTGGGACTACAGGTGCCCACCACCATGCCCGGCTAATTTTTTTGTATTTTTAGTAGAGATGGGGTTTCACTGTGTTAGCCAAGATGGTCTCGATCTCCTGACCTCGTGATCTGCCTGCCTCGGCCTCCCAAAGTGCTGGGATTACAGGCGTGAGCCACTGCGCCTGGTAAGTATCTTTTCATAACTATACAAGTAAACAAAGGATTTTTCTCCTTTATATATAATAAATATTAATAGATTTGTATTATTTCTATTTATTTATTTATTTGAGATGGAGTCTCACTCTGTCCCCTAGGCTGGAATACAATGATGCGATCTCAGCTCACTGCAACCTCTGCCTCCCAGGTTCAAGTGATTCTCCTACCTCAGCCTCTGGAGTAGCTGGGATTACAAGCATGCACCACCACACCCGGCTAACTTCTGTTTTTTTTTTTTTTTTTTTTTTTTTTTTTTAGTAGAGATAGGATTTTGCTATCTTGGACAGGCTGGTCTCGAACTCCTGACCTCAGGTATTGCCTGCCTCTGCCTCCCAAAGTGCTGGCATTACAGGCGTGAACCACTGTGCCCAGCATGGGGACTGGATTTCAACATGAGATTTGGAGGGGACAAATATCCAAACTGTATCAGCAACCTTGGGTCAGAGGGGTAAAGACAAATTAAAATTGCGTATTTTTTTCTAGAAAACATTATACAGACCTTCATATTCATGGGTTCTGTATGTGAGGATTCAACCAACCAAGGAGGGAAAATATTTGAGAGAAAACAAAAGGATGGTTTTGTCTGTACATACTCAGTTTTTTTGCCATTCCCTAAACAATTTAGTATAACAACTATTTACTATTTATGTAGCATTTACTTTGCATTAGGTATTAATCTAGAAATAAAATATATGGTAGGATATGTGTGGAGTATATGCAAATGCTACACCATTTTATATAATAAATTTGAGCATCCATGGATTTTGCTATCTGAGCAAGGGTCCTGGAACCAATCCCCCATGAATACCAAGGACAAGTGTATATCAGAATCTATGGTATAACTGACAGTGATGCTCATGAGACAGTTCATGGCTGTAAAAACATGTTTAATTTAGAAAAATGGGAATAATAAAGCCTCTGATTTAAAACAACAAAGGTATTAATAAACACCAAATAGAAAGTAATGAGTTAAAAACAGAAAAAAACTACTAAGATTTAAACTAAAATAAATCAATTTCCATAGAGAAAATTGAAATTATCAAAAAAGAATAGCCACCTACCCAAGAAAAGCACCAGACTCAGACAGTTCCACAGAAAATTCTTCTAAACTCTTAAAAATTAAATAATTCAAATGCTAGGAAAATTTCCAGAGTATATAAAAAGAAGGAAACTTCCAAATTCAAACAAGAGTGAAACTCTGTATCAAAAAAAAAAGGGAAATCTGATCCCCAGTGATGGAGGTGGAGCCTAGTCGGAGGTGTTTGCATCATGCGGGTAGATCCCTCATGGAATGGCTTGATGCCATTACTTCCAAGATAGTAAGTGATTTCTTGCTCTTCGTTCACTAAAGATGTGGCTGTTTAAAAGAGGCTGGTACCTTCCTACTCTCTTCCTTACTCTTTTGCCACGTGAAGTCTGCTCTCTTCTACCATGAGTAGCTTCTTGAAGCCCTCACCAGAAGCAGACGTTGACGCCATGCTTCTTGTACAGCCTACAGAAAACCGTGAGCCAATTAAACCTCTTTTCTTTATAAATTACCCAGCCTCAGGTATTCTTTTATAGCAGCACAAAATGGACTAAGACAGTTGCTTAAGAGTTTTAAATTTTCCAGGAGGAAGCAACTTTAATTTACTGATCTTTATTATTAATTTCTAGTTGTACTGCATTGTGACAGATCCTACTTTATTTCTACTCCTTGGAATCTGAGTTTTTCCTTGTTGCCTAGTATTTAGTCAATTTTCTTCAATCTTGAAAAGGTGTATTCTCCTATCACAGCATACAGTAGCTATAATAAGAATTATCTCACTAAGAATCTATTTAAGTGTTCTACGTTTTTCCTTGTTTTTATGTGGTTCGTCTGGCCAACACACACATTCTGTTTCCCTAGGTTATTAAGGACTCTCCTTTGATTCCTGTCACCACAATGTTCAATCGGTTATAGTTTTTCTTTCACAAAAACTGGTTAAATGTTACTGTTTCAATTATCATCACCTATAAACTGATGACTCCCCAATCCCTATATCCTCACATCTGAACTCCAATCCCCAATTTCCAAATATCTGGAGGATAATCTCATTTTATTTCCTATCATGGATTCAATCTCATCCAAAATCAATTCCACCTTCTTCCCTACTCTGCTCCTGGGTCCAAATCTTGCTTCAGTCTTGCGATAGCTCATTATACCTACAAACATTTCACACTGCTTATCGTTTAAGGAATGACTTGTCTTATAAACCAAATTGGAAGGTTATAAAAGGCAGGAATACAGCATCTTTGTAACCTATAAATACAATTCCAGAACCCAATCCTGCCTGAGGAAAAAACAAGTACATTTATGAAATGCTGGTAAATGACTAAGCTTAATCCATCAGCTTCAGGGTATGGGTGGAGGAAGCGGGAAATAGAGGGTGAGGATTGGGTCTTAGGGGCCCCAAAGTGCATAGTCAAAGTGATCCTGGAGGCAATATATCCACTAACTGGTCACCCAAAATAAATGCTAGCTCTGCCCAAGACTCAGGAAAAACTCAGTGTAATAAATCGGATCCTTTTATACTTTTCTCTAAAATAAAGAAGATATCACATAGAGCAACCTGTGGGAAATTAACTAGACTCATTACATACCAATACTTCTGACCATATGGTATAATTACAGCTAAGAGTTTCATAGTCATAATGGATTTTTATCACCCCAGGCAACTCCTAAAACCTATTCTCTGTACAACTTCACCCTCAGAAGCAAACAGCCCTGAAGGCAAAGTAAAAAGTGTCAGGCACTCAGTAAAGACATTTGTGTGGGCCTCTGCCTCTAGGGTTGCAGCATTTCTAGAGAAAAGGTAAAGCATCTCTAAGCAAATTATAGAGGGGCTCTGCCTGATCAGTTCATACACAGCACTGGGGGACACTTGTCAACTATTACCGGGAAATGAGGACAAATAAAGAATGCCCCAGCCGGCGCGGTGGCTCACGCCTGTAATCCCAGCACTTTAGGAGGCTGAGGCAGGCGGATCATGAGGTCAGGAGATCGAGACCATCTGGGCTAACACAGTGAAACCCCGTCTCTATTAAAAATACAAAAAAATTAGCCGGGCGTAGTGGCAGGCGCCTGTAGTCCCAGCTACTTGGGAGGCTGAGGCAGGAGAATGGCGTGAACCCGGGAAGCGGAGCTTGCAGTGAGCCGAGATCGCGCCACTGCACTCCAGCCTGGGCGGCAAAGCGAGTCTCCGTCTCAAGGAAAAAAAAAAAAAAAAGAATGCCCCATTCACCAACAACGTAATTATGAGAAATGCATCTAGGAGGCAGAACAGCCCTGGGCCATTACTGCAAATTCTGATGTCAGATTCCCTGAGTCCGAATCCCTGTTCCACTGCTTACAACTGTGTGACCTTTAGCAAATGTTTTAACTCCTCTCTGCCTCAGTTCTGTCACCTGTAAGGTGGCAGTAATTTCTATACCACTCAATATTACTCTGAGAAGTACATGAGACAATAAACACATGAAAAGCATTTGGACTAGTACCTAGCATGTAACAGCATGTAAGTGCTCATTAAGTGTTAAACATTACTTTCATCAATAGTGGAATATATTTTCACTTAGGCTAGTAGTCTTCACATCTATTGAACATCAAAAAGGGGACGGGGATTAGAAGAGCTAGTCATGTGTTCAATGAAAACATTCAAATATACCTGCTGAGAACAGAGTTCAGAAAATGGGTTCAGAACAGTTTCTATGCCCACAGTTTCTGTCTGCAGGTTTTCCCTACCTCTCCCCTCACTGCCCCCAACATATAGGGAAAATGGCCACCCACCCACCCACAGCTGGAGCTGTGGAAAGGCTCTGCCACACAGAATAAAACAAAAGTAAAATAGAATGTGTGTGTGTACATAGGCTTACCAGGTGTGACTTGTCCCCCAAAGCTAGAGATGAAGGACGTGCTTGTCCCAAAGTAAACAACCTGAACACACAAAGGCTGTGATTTCTTTTTTTTTTTTTTGAGACGGAGTCTCGCTCTGTCGCCCAGGCTGGAGTGCAGTGGCACGATCTCAGCTCACTGCAAGCTCTGCTTCCCGGGTTCACGCCATTCTCCTGCCTCAGCCTCCTGAGTAGCTGGGACTATAGGCGCCCACCACCACGCCCAGCTAATTTTTTGTATTTTTAGTAGACACAGGGTTTCATCGTGTTAGCCAGGATGGTCTCGATCTCCTGACCTCGTGATCTGCCTGTCTCGGCCTCCCAAAGTGCCGGGATTACAGGCGAGAGCCACCGCGCCTGGCTGGGCTGTGATTCTTACCCAGTAACATCATCTCCCCGACACTGCTGTCATCTTCCTTCTCTGAGGTGAGAGTAGGATCCAAGCTCACACATTCTTCCTGGCAGTGAAATACATTCAAATCCTCAAAGACCACCAGTTCCTGAAAGAGCAAGAGGCCCCTTTCATCTTAGTAACTGAGCTTCACTGACAGCCCTACTGGTAACAAAACCTGACACACAAAGATCAAGGGAAGGGATGGCAAGAGGGACCTATAAATCCCACAGAGGTGCAGCAAAGACAGGACAGCCAGGCTGAGAAGGGCTCAAAGAAAAAGCAGAAGAAAAACACCCAAGAAGGCCAACTCCTAAGAATGTGTTTTTACACACACGTTGGCCAAGCATGGAAGGTGATGGACTCAGGCAGTGAATGGGAAAACCAAACCCACCTCAGGGTTAGCTTTCAAATACAGAGACACTGTCTCTTGTTCCTGTTGGACTCCTTTGGGCAGAAGCTTCACCAAGGGACAAGGATGCACTGGGGAAAGAGGAAGGTGTCGTTAGTGAAAAACTCAGTGATTCTAACACAGAGACACCCCATACCTTGAGGTCAGGCTGTCCTCATTCCTTTGACAGGTAACTCATGGCCTTTTCTGCTCCTGTGAGCCCTTCTGGAGGTCAAGCCATAAACTCTAGGGTCTTGAACCTATGGCATCTCCCTTTTATGAAAATAATGACCTCTCTAAACACCTTTCAGAATTTCCCATAGAGTATTACTAAAGGAGAGCTCGGGGCAATGTAAAGTGTGAAGATGCCCAGAAAAAGCAGAAAATTTCTAAAATTCCACATAAACCTAACTCAGTAATTCATCTGATTTATCCCAAAAAGATATTTCCCTCAGAATGTTTGGGTAAAACCGACACTACAGAAAGATGCACACTGTTTATTGTGTGGCTTTACCCACACCCAGCACTTGAGAAGAATTTCCTCTTTCCAACACTAGAATTGACTCCTTTTTCAATATACACCATCCTAATTTGAATTTATAACACAGAAGCCTATCTTAGACTCCAATACCTCCTCTTCCTCTTCTAGTGAAACAAGCATGTGCTTCTCACCTCTGTTCTGAAGGCTTGAGCTCACATCTTTCATAATAACCAAGGTCTCCTTGACTTTCTGACTGGGCTGGACCAGGCTTGGCTTGGGCAAGAAGGTGAGGAAGTGCTCCAGCACTAGCTGGTGGATGGTCTTGGGCCCATTAGTGGCATCTCGAAGTAGGTCTTGGCCCAGCTTGGAGTCTGGTGGAACTCTCAGTATAAAGGACCGCTTTGGCTTTGGGGGCATAGGAACCACTTTTGCAGCCATCATGCCTTGCAACCACACACCACACTCGTTTCGCGGGGCCTCCAGAGCCACCTCTTACTAGAGGAAATCTGCCAGAGAGCCAAGCTGTGGACAGAGAAACCAGGGATTACCCACAAGACCAGGCAAGGCATTACTGCACTCCAATATGTGGCATGGGTAGTGAGGTTACATGAGATCTAAAGAAAACGACAGCTGGGGTTAGGAAATCATAACTGAAACGCAGTATTTGAACAAGATATGCTTAGGAAGATGTTAAAGGAAGATCCTGAGAATAAAAAAGAGACTCTGCAAACCTCAAGTCCAAAGGCAAGAGAGTAATGGCGAGAAGGCCAAGGTCCAGCCTCCTGAGAAATACAAAGTGTGGCCAGGTACCGGTGGCTCACACCTGTAATCCCAGCACTTTGGAAGGCCCTGGTGGGTGGATCGCTTGCGTCCAGGAGTTCAAGACCAGCCTGGGCAACACAGCAAGACCCCAATTCTATAAAAAAAATAAATAAAAAATTAGCTGGGCGGGGCGACACAAGTCTGTGGGTCCCAGCTACTCGGGAGGTGGGAGGATTGCTTGTGCCCAGAAGGTCGAGGTTGCAGTGAACTGTGATCGCGCCACTGCACTCCAGTCTGAATGACAAAGCGAGACCCTGACTCTAAAAAAGAAAGGAAAAGAGAAAGGAAAGGAGGAAGGGAGTCAGGGAAGGGAAAGCAAATAAAAGGAGAAAGAAAGAAAAGACAGACAGACGGTGTGTAAAACCCACCAGGAAGAGGTTGAATCAGGTCTGGAGAAAGAGCAATGGGCTAGAAGACAGGAAATCTGGGGTCAATACCGAGGACATCCGCCTAGAAGCAGGTTGGTCACTGAAACTGGCCATACTGTACCCCTCGAACCGAAGCTCCCTCCGGTGCCCTTTGGGCGGGGAGGCGGTTGGTGACTCTCCCGGGGAGCAGACGCAAGGCCGAGGAGGGGTCCACACACCGCCTGCCGACTCCTCTCCGCCGTCAAAGCTCTGCTGAGAGCGGCAGGCGACATCCCACTAAGGCCCGCCGGGCCAGGCTCACTCTGGGGCCTCTTCCGCTGGTCAAGGAACACCTTTACCGTAAAGCTCAGCGTGCGCCCCTGCCTGAGGCGCTCACCAGGCTCCCTACCCGGCCTTTCTCCCTCAGCAACGGACACGCTCCGTTCCCCAGAGGCGGCCTCAGCCTGGTTCCCGCCCTCACGGAGCCCCTCACCTCTCGGGGCCTCTGTAGCCCCTGAGCGTTTGCTGGGGACGGCTCAGAGACTCAGGGTCCGGGAGAGATAGAAAAACTAGGCGCGAGCGGCCGAGCCCTCCCCTCGCCCTTCCGAGTGCCCTCACAGGTCACCGGCGACTATTCGTTCGCGCCGTGACCAGTTGAGGAGAATTGCAGGGACGCGGTGCCTTCTGGGAGGTCGGGCGCTCTGCAGCCGTTACGTCACAACCGGTGCCTTGTTTCCGGTGCAGAAGCCTGGTCTCCCCGTTCAGAGCCGGCAATCTGCGCTTGAGACGGTAACGCTTGAGACGGGCCCGGAGAGCTCTCAGGGCCGGAGGGAGGCCAGGACGGCTGCAGCCTGTCTCTCTGTGGCTCTGCCTGGAAGACGGAAGGCAAGAGGCTGGCTCCAGTCATCCATGACGGGCTGGCACTTCTCCAGCTGCGGCCAGTCTAACCCCAGGGCCTCCTGGGAAATGTAGTTCGAATGCAAACAACCAATGGACGACCGTCAGGCGCGGCCGTTGGGGCAAGGCAGACCCCCTCCAACCCCCCCCGTCTCCCCCACCCCAAGGCTTGAAGGAAGCGAGCTCTCGGACCGGAAGATCAAGACGCCTCCGCGCGTTTCCGCCTTTTACTGCGGTTTTCCAGTAAAAGGACTGCGGAGGCGGAGAGGGTGTGACCGGCATGGGACTCCGCCTCTGCTCTGGTGACTCCCATAGGTTAGAGCTGGGGCACCTACGTTGCCACCTCCAATTTTCTAACTTCTACTCTGCTGTCCCCACCGACCGTCTTGTTTTTAAAGGTATCTTAATTGCCCTTCTTGTACTGTCTCTGTTCTCAATTTCAGCTTCCTACGGAGGCCGAACAGAGTTTTGTCTTTGTGCGTTGTATCCATACTCGGTTCGTTCTCCAGTGAGGCATTGATCAGGGTTGGGACAACTTGTGGGCATGTGTGGCCTTATTTCTCGATGTAACACCAGCCTCCAGAAAGTTGACAAAAGTAAAAATATAAATGAATACTTCTTAAAGTTCATTACAGCTGACTAATCGTTTAATGATGGCTTAAAATATGTCACAAAGAAACGAGTATGAAAACTGTGTGGCACCAAGACATTCTAGAAAAATAAGGAATGTCTGCCTTTTCAGATCAAAATTTACTAAAAAGGCTCCGTTAATCAAAGCAGTATGGTTTGAACTATAAGGCAAAACAGATAACCGAGATGGCTTGAAGTAAAATATAAACCTGTGTGATTGTATTTTTTAAGAACTTTTTCTTGACTCTGTTAACAAACAAGAAATAGACTGGAAGATAGTTGTAAAGATTAGCTACACAAAGGATTCCCAAGACGAAATGAACCCCTGACAACTGACAAAATGCAAAGGCAATGAGGAGCTCTTCCCGAGAGGGGGAAACCTAATTGTCATTAACATTTGAAAAGATGCTTAACCACACTACTAGTCAAGATTATCACTTTTAAAGGGACCAACATTTTTCACCTATCAAACAACGAAGGTGGAGAAAAAGGCACTCCTTTTACTGGTAGTATAGTGTGTGAAGTCATCTTGTAATATATATTAAAATTAAAAGTACACATATGTACTCTTTGACCTTCACAATCTCATCTGTGAATCTGATGTCTACAGATTTCTTGTAGAATTGTTTATAGTGACAAAAACTAGAAATGACATGCATGTTCATACGTAAGGAAATGAGTAAATTGGTGCATTCATACTCTGGAAATTACCCAGCTATGAAAAAGAATGGATTGGAACTATAGGTACACCTGCAGGGATGGCCATAAAATATTACATGAAAAAGTTTCAGAGCTACATATATCATGCATAATTATATTTTTGGAACAAACAAAACACCTATGTATGTGTTGAGGGATACACATTAGACTATTAAAATGGTTACTCATGGGATGGCCAGGCGCAGTGGCTCATGCCTGTAATCCCAGCACTTTGGGAGGCCAGAGGTGGGCTGATCACTGGAGGTTAGGCATTCGAGACCAACCTGGTCAACATGGGGAAACCCCATCTGTACTAAAAATACAAAAATTAGCCGGGCATGGTGGCGGGAACCTATAATCTCATCTACTTGGGAGGAGGCTGAGACACAAGAACTGCTTGAACCCAGGAGGTGGAGGTAGAGGTTACAGTGAGCCAAGATTGTACCACTGCATTCCAGCCTGAGTGACAGGCGCACCAGCCTGGGCGACAGAGTAGTAAGACTCTGTCTCAAATTAATAAATAAAATAAAAATAAAACAGTTACTCATAGGGAGGGAGTGGAAATGGAGAAAAGGGGGAGATTACACTTTTTTTTTAAATTGTGTCACTTCATTTAATGAGCACATGTCAATTTGGTAACCAAAAATAAAACCTTAAAAAAAAAATAGAACAATAGGCTGGGCGTGGTGGCTCATCCCAGCACTTTTGGAGGCCGAGGTGGGAAGATCATCTGAGGTCAGGAGTTCCAGACCAGCCTAACATAGTGAAACTCCATCTCTACTAAAAAATACAAAATTAGCCGGGCGTGGTGGTGCATGCCTATAATCCCAGTTACTCAGGTGGCTGAGACAGGAGAATCGTTTGAACCTGGGAGGCGGAGGTTGCAGTGAGCTGAGATAGTGCCACTGCACTCCAGCCTGGGTGACAGACAGAGCGAGACTCCATCTTGGGAGGCGGGAGGAGGAGGGGAAGAAAAAAGAACGATAAAGATTTTTTTTTTAATTTGATGGAAAAAAAGAGCGATAAAGATTTTTTAAAACAGGCCGGGCGCGATGGCTCAAGCCTGTAATCCCAGCACTTTGGGAGGCCGAGACGGGCGGATCACAAGGTCAGGAGATCGAGACCATCCTGGCTAACACGGTGAAACCCTGTCTCTACTAAAAAGTACAAAAAACTAGCCGGGCGAGGTGGCGGGCGCCTGTAGTCCCAGCTACTCCGGAGGCTGAGGCAGGAGAATGGCGTAAACCCGGGAGGAGGAGCTTGCGGTGAGCAGAGATCCGGCCACTGCACTCCAGCCTGGGTGACAGAGCCAGACTCTGTCTCAAAGAAATAAAAAATAAAAAATAAAAAAAAATAAAAGATTTTTTAAAACAATTGGATGGAATCCTGTTTTTAGAATCTAATTCGTAAAATAAATGACATAAATGGATTTGAAATGATACCATAAATTAAGGGTGTAAACACAATATATATCTCTATAAATGCCTTTTAACATGAAAAGATGGCTACCGTCACATACAATTAAAGAAATGAAATGTAAAAGAATAATTACAAAAATAATATTCAGAATTCTGAAAGCAAATTAATACAATTATTTAAGAGGGCAATATGGCACTTCCTATTTTAAGAAGTAAACTTTGGCTGGGCAAAGTGGCTCAAGCCTGTAATCTCAGCACTTTGGGAGGCCGAGACGGGCGGATCACGAGGTCAGGAGATCGAGACCATCCTGGTTAACACGGTGAAACCCCATCTCTACTAAAAAATACAAAAATTAGGCCGGGCGTGGTGGCTCAAGCCTGTAATCCCAGCACTTTGGGAGGCCGAGACGGGCGGATCATGAGGTCAGGAGATCGAGACCATCCTGGCTAACACGGTGAAACCCCGTCTCTACTAAAAAATACAAAAAAACTAGCTGGGCGCGGTGGCGGGCGCCTGTAGTCCCAGCTACTCGGGAGGCTGAGGCAGGAGAATGGCGTAAACCCGGGAGGCGGAGCTTGCAGTGAGCCGAGATCTGGCCACTGCACTCCAGCCTGGACGACAGAGCCAGACTCCGTCTCAAAAAAAAAAAAAAAAAAAATACAAAAATTAGCCGGGTGTGGTGGCGGGCACCTGTAGTCCCAGCTACTAGGGAGGCTGAGGCAGGAGAATGGCGTGAACCTGGGAGGCGGAGCTTGCAGTGAGCTGAGATCCGGCCACTGCACTCCAGCCTGGGCAACAGAGTGAGACTCCGTCTCAAAAAAAAAAAAAAAAAGAAACTTCAGGCCGGGCACGCCTGTAATCCCAGCACTTTGGGAGGCCGAGGCGGGCAGAGGTAAGGAGATCGAGACCATCCTGACTAAAGCGGTGAAACCCCGTCTCTACTAAAAATACAAAACTTAGCTGGATATAGAGATACGCACCTGTAATCCCAGCTACTGGGGAGGCTGAGGCAGGAGAATCTCTTGAACCAGGGAGTTGGAGGTTGCAGTGAGCCAAGATTGTGCGACTGCACTCCAGCTTGGGTGACAGAGGGAGACTCCATCTCCAAAAAAAAGGTTAAATCATGATATGTTCATACAGTGGAAGCCAACGGAACCATTAAAAAGAGATAAGTGAAAAGGCAAGTTATAAAACAGTATGTATAATAAGTCGTTTTAAAAATAAAATATTAGGCTATTTTTTTTTTTTTGAGATGGAGTCTTGCTCTGTTGCCCAGGTTGGAGTGCAGTGGCATGGTCTCAGCTCACTGCAGCCTCCACCTCCCAGGTTCAAGCAATTCTTTTGCCTCAGCCTCCTGAGTAGCTGGGACTACAGGCGTGTGCCACCACACCCGGCTCATTTTTGTATTTTTAGTAGAGACGGGGTTTCACCATGTTGGCCAGGATGGTCTCAATCTCCTGACCTCGTGATCCACCCACCTCGGCCTCCCAAAGTGTTAGGATTACAGGTGTGAGCCACCGCGCCCAGCCTAGGCTTTTTTTTTTTAAACTGGAGGAATATACAATAACAAGAATTAACAGTTGCTTTCCAGGCCGGGCGCGGTGGGTCAAGCCTGTAATCCCAGCACTTTGGGAGGCCGAGACGGGCGGATCACAAGGTCAGGAGATCAAGACCATCCTGGCTAACCTGCTGAAACCCCATCTCTACTAAAAAAAATACAAAAAACTAGCCGGGCGAGGTGGCGGGCCCCTGTAGTCCCAGCTACTCGGGAGGCTGAGGCAGGAGAATGGCGTAAACCCGGGAGGCGGAGCTTGCAGTGAGCTGAGATCCGGCCACTGCACTCCAGCCTGGGCGACAGAGCGAGACTCCGTCTCAAAAACAAACAAACAAACAAACAAACAAACAGTTGCTTTCCAGAAATGTTGGCCAGGGGGCAGAAAAAAAAAAAAAGAGTTAATATTGGTTGTCTCTCAGGAGTAGGATTAGAGGGAATTTGTCACTTTTTATGTTATATAAATCCATGCATTTTCAAATGAGTGTTCCTTTTATAGTTGAAAAAAACCGAACTATTTGAAAGGTGAGTTAATTTAGTATCTGATCATCTAGGAGTAAAACTAAGTGAAGAAAGAATTTCCTATTTAAAAGATCTTGAATGCAAATCAGAACCAAATGAGATACCACTTCACACACACTAGAATTACTATAATAAAAAATACCATAAAAGTGTTATTGGTGAGGATGTGGAGAAAATGAAACCCTCCTGTATTGCTGGTGGGAATGTAAAATGGCCCAGTTACTCTGGAAAACAGTTTGGCAGTTTTTGTTTTTGTTTTTTGTTTTTTTTTGGAGACAGAGTTTCCCTCTGTCACCCAGGCTGGAGTGCAGTGGTGTGATCTTGGCTCACTGCAAGCTCCGCCTCCCGGGTTCATGACATTCTCCTGCCTCAGCCTCCCGAGTATCTGGACTACAGGTGCCCAGCACCACGCCTGGCTAATTTTTTTGTATTTTTAGTAGAGATGGGGTTTCACCGTGTTAGCCAGGATGGTCTCGATCTCCTGACCTTGTAATCCACCTGCCTCGGCCTCCCAAAGTGCTGGGATTACAGGCATAAGCCACCGCGCCTGGCCAGCAGTTTCTTAACATACTTATCATGTGAACAAGCAGTTCAATTTCAAGGTGTAAACTCAAGAGAAATGGAAATGTGTTCACACAAAAACATGTTCACACTAGCCTAAAAGTAGAAACAACCCAATGTCCCCTAAGTGATGAATGGATGAACAAGAATGACATATACATGTAATCATATAATGGATTATTCAGTGATAAAAAAGGATAAAGCATTGACACATACTACAACATGGATGAACCATGAAAACATACTAAGCAAAAGAAGCCAGTCACAAAAAAAACCACATATTATATGATGCCACTTAACATATGTCCAGAATAGGCAAATCCATAGAGACAGAAAGTAGCTTAGTGGTTTGCATGCTCTGGGGAATGGGGGAGAGTGGGGAGTGACTGCTAATACATATAATAAAATGTTCTGGAACTGGATAGTGGTGATATTTATACACACAATGCATATAATAAGAAACACTGAATTTTCCACTTTAAAAGGATGTATTTTATGGTATGGATTTAGAGCGCCATAAAACCACCACTAGGCAGGGAAATTTCATCTGACAGATTCAAATGCGTACTATCTAAAACATCTATGTTTTTGTTTTCCTTTTTTTTTTTTTTTTTTTGAGACGGAGTCTTGCTCTGTCGCCCAGGCTGGAGTGCAGTGGCCGGATCTCAGCTCACTGCAAGCTCCACCTCCCGGGTTTATGCCATTCTCTTGCCTCAGCCTCCCGAGTAGTTGGGACTACAGGCGCCCGCCACCTCGCCTGGCTAGTTTTTTGTATTTTTTAGTAGAGACGGGGTTTCACCGTGTTAGCCAGGATGGTCTCGATCTCCTGACCTCGTGATCCGCCCGTCTCGGCCTCCCAAAGTGCTGGGATTACAGGCTTGAGCCACCGCGCCCGGCCTGTTTTCCTTTTTTTTTGAGACAGGGTCTTGCTCTGCTGCTGAGGTTGTAGTGCAGTGGCACAATCTCGGCTTACTGCAGCCTCTGCCTCCAAATCTCAAGCAATTCTCCTGCCTCAGCTTCCCGAGCAGCTGGGACTACAGGTGCTAACCACCATGCCTGGCTAATTTTTGTATTTTTTGGTAGAGATGAGGTTTTGCCATGTTGCCCAGACTGGTTTCGAACTCCTGGATGCAAGCGATCTGCCCACCTCCGGCTCCCAAACTGTTGGGATTGCAGGCGTGAGCCACCACACCCAGCCTAAAACGTGTATGAAGAAGTACAGCAAACAACAAAGTTCAATATGTAGATTCCAAATAGCAAGTATTCAGAGGAACTGTACAATTTCCATAGAATGAAGCAAAAAGCAGAAAGTCACATGGAAAACTTCACAGCCTCCTTAACAGGTAATGAAATAAAACAGAAGTAAGGCCTCATTACATCCCTATTAAATTAGCAAAAAAAAAAAAAAAAAAAAAAAAAAAAGGTGGCCATTGCTTTGGGCATGAAATATTTTAAAAATATTTGCAAAGGATGGTATGGCAACCTGTAGCAAGCATTATCAGATATTTCACATTCAGGAACCATTTTAGGAATAACACAAGAGAAAAAATATGTATATGGTGAGGTGGGTAGAAAATATACACAAAGATATTCATGAAAAGCTTATAACAAGGGAGAATTGAGAATAACACATGACCCACCACAGCGAACAGCTAAGCCGTAGGTCACGTGAACTCTCCTGGGATGTGGATGACTCTTGTAGAATAAAACTCCCGAGGAAAGCACAGCAAGTTTACCTCCTCTCATCATAGCCGTGGAGTATCTGAGTCCCGTCTAGACTCTAGTAGTGAAAACAGAGGAGCTGGCATAGAAGTTTGGAATTTAATCTTCATTTGATTTTGTTCTTCTTACATCCAGCTTTTTTTGGAGACAGGGACTCACTCTGTTGCCCAGGCTGGATTGCAGTGGTCCATTCTCAGTTCACTGCTGCAGCCTCGATCTCCTGGGCTCAAGCCATCCTCCCATCCCCATCCCTATGACTAATTTTTGTATTTTTTGTAGAGACAGGTTTTTACCGCATTGCCCAGGCTGGTCTCGAATCCCTGGGCTCAGGCGATCCACCTGTCTTTGCCTCCCCAAATGCTGAAATTACAGGTGTGAGTCACCATGCCCGGCCCCTTTACATCTCTTTAAATGAAGGACAATGCGCGGGATGTGTGTGAAGTAGAACCTAATATTCCACAACCCAAGATTTTCCCATACAAACCAAGACTGAATAATCTGACACTTGGAATACATGCCAGATGTTTTTCCATACAGTAGTCCCATCTGCTTCATGAAATGCAGCCGGGAAATGGGATTCCACAGTGATTGAGTGACAAATGCAAATGACCAGATTTTTCTAAATTTTTTATTCATGAGGCCCAGTCAATTCTCTTAAGAATCATGGCCAGGAGGTCGGGCACGGTGGCTCAAGCCTGTAATCCCAGCACTTTGGGAGGCCAAGATGGGCGGATCACGAGGTCAGGAGATCGAGACCATCCTGGCTAACACGTTGAAACCCCATCTCCACTAAAAAAAATACAAAAAACTAGCCGGGCGACGTGGCGGGCGCCTGTAGTCCCAGCTACTCCGGAGGCTGAGGTAGGAGAATGGGGTAAGCTCGGGAGGCGGAGCTTGCAGTGAGCTGAGATCCGGCCACTGCACTCCAGCCTGGGCGACAGACCCAGACTCCGTCTCAAAAAAAAAAAAAAAAAAAAAAGAATCATGGCCAGGCATGGTGGCTTATGCCTATAATCCCTGCACTTTGGGAGGCTGAGGTGGGTGGATCATCTGACGTCAGGAGTTTGAGACCAGCCTGATCAACATGATGAAACCTCATGTCTACTAAAAATGCAAAAAATTAGCCGGGCATGGTGGCAGGCGCCTATAGTCCCAGCTACTTGGGAGGCTGAGGCAGGAGAATCTCTTGAACCCGGGAGACGGAGGTTGCAGTGAGCCAAGATTGTACTACTGCACTCCAGCCTGGGCAACAAGAGCAGTCTCAAAAAAAAAAAAAAAAAAGAATCATAGGCCGGGCGGGGTGGCTCATGCCTGTAATCCCAGCACTTTGAGAGGCCAAGGTGGGTGGATCACCTGAGGTCAGGAGTTCAAGACCAGCCTGGCTAACATGGTGAAACCCCCATCTCTACTAAAAATACAAGAAAATTAGCCTGGTGTGGCATGCGCCTGTAATCCCAGCTACTCAGGAGGCTGAGGCAGGAGGATCACTTGAACCTGGGAGGTGGAGGTTGCGGTGAGCTGAGATAGTGCCACTGCACTCCAGCCTGGGTGACAAAGCAAGATCCCGTCTCAAAAAAAAAAATCATAGTTCATTAATCCAGGTACACAAATACTTCTATCCCAATCCAGTCTGCTTGTGTTTCTCTAGACTTCCCATGTCCTCAAGACAAAAGCAGAGAGAACCAGGGGACATGTCCTTGCCGTGGGGTTCTGAGGGAAAATGAGGGCCAAATCTTCTGTTCAGGAGCACCTGAGAGTACCATTCACCAGGGATGGATTATGCAACGACCCTGTACTTCCTTCTCTGAAATCCATGGTGTGTCATCAGTACATTTCTTCAGCGGATTTACTAATATGTTCGTTCCTAACTTAGCTCTGCTGTAATCGGGTAGGCTCCATGGGCACAGTAACTATTTTGTTATTCGTTGCATTTCCTGTAGCGGCTGGCACCCAGGTGGCATTTCGTGACTGCTGAGTATGTGAATGCAAGATACAAGGCCAGAAGGTGGAAGAGAGATGCAGTGTTGGGCATTCAGTCAGGCCCCTGACCACCCACTGGACAGATAGTCAGAGGAGCTGTGTTCTTCCCTCCATCATGTGTCCCAGGGCTGAAGATAGGTTGAAGGGGCTCAGAGAAACGGCAGCTGGTGAATGTATAGATGCAGGATCTGGCTGTCACGTTGTAAAAGGAAATGCTTCCAACTCTGTAGTCCACAAAGATGCCCACACGCTTGGGAGGCACCTTTATTAGCAGGCGGGTTGGGGGAACACTGGATGCCTGGTACTCATTTTCCTTCATCATTATCACCACCCAGTAGCCATTCTCTGGTGACAGAGTCATGTTCCCTTTCCTGCTTATGGATGCCTTGCAGGCTCCCAGGATCCACGCTGTCTTGTCTCCGACCTCCACCTCCCAGTAATGGTGGCCGGAGAGGAAGCTCGGAGAGCCCAGAACAACGATGCAGCTGTCAAATCTTTGCGGGCCATCAGGCAGCCTCTCCCGCTTGTTTCCAAGTCTAACACTCTTCAGATCATCAGAGACGATGAGGTTGGGGTAAGCGGTTTCTGCATCCAGAATCACATTAACTGCAAAGAAAATTTGAATACCTAGCTAGGGGTCCGTGGGCAACATCCCTACAGGGTTATCCCCACCTGCAGGAAACAGGGACAGGGCAGTTATTCTCGAACGTGATAGGGGAGAGCACAGGGATCCAGCAGGCCAGGGCCACTTGCCTTGATCTGGGCACTTACCGGCATGTGCCTGAGCACCAATCAGCTCTGGAACTACAGAGAAAAATGAGATAGGGAAAAAAGTCCTGAGTGTTTGTACTCAGAGGGGCTAAATTACAATGTCCTGACAACAAGGAAACACAAGGAACCCCCTGCTTAGGGCCCTGCATGCTATGTTGGGTATAATCCCATTCCTCCCAGGAACCCAGGTCATGTTGGGGACTGTGGTCTAATGAGTCAACTCAGCCAGTGAGTCATGCAGTCATGCACAGAGCCTGGGGGGCCTGCCATGACCTTTCTCCTGCCTTTGCTCTAGGTGTTTTTGGGTTTTTTTGTCTTCTAAATAGGGCCCCTCAAGTCAACAGCACAAGGAAACACTGCAACAATCCCAGGCCAGCACACACCATTACCGCTGGACTCACCATTGAACATTTCCATTTCTGAACGCAGGGTTTCTAAAATGTGGGAAAGGGAACAGAGAGAAGCTGGAGTTAGGTCCCTCAACCAGGGACAGATGGAAGAGAGGTCGAAGGCAGGTCAGCAAGACCAGGGGAGGAGGAGGAGGGAAGTGAGGGGCTCTGGGCTATGTGAATCTTAGGGAGGAAGCAAGCATGCATCTCCAATCCTCTCCCAAGCCCATCTACCTAAGAAGTACTTTGCGCTCTTCTCCACAAACTCTAACTTCTGGAGGAGCAGTTGGATCTTCTGTTCCATCTCTTGAGGAGTCGTCCACCGTTCAGGGAGAGGCACTGTCTTAGCCCTAGAGACAAAAGACTGTTGGCCAGAGAGGGCTGGAACGAGGGGATGGCCCAAGTACCCGTGAGCTAGAAATGATCTACATTCTCCACAGGGCACACCTAGCCTAACCTGAGCTACACAAAGAAAAGTCTTCCCTGGATTCAGAGGTCTAAATGCTGGTGCTCAACTTTGGCCACAGATTGTCATGTACTGGGGTGCTTTAAAGACATGGATATCAGGGCCGGGCGCGGTGGCTCAAGCCTGTAATCCCAGCACTTTGGGAGGCCGAGACGGGCGGATCACGAGGTCAGGAGATCGAGACCATCCTGGCTAACATGGTGAAACCCCGTCTCTACTAAAAAATACAAAAAACTAGCCAGGCGAGGTGGCGGGCGCCTGTAGTCCCAGCTACTCGGGAGGCTGAGGCAGGAGAATGGCGGGAACCCGGGAGGCAGAGCTTGCAGTGAGCTGAGATCCGGCCACAGCACTCCAACCTGGGCGACAGAGCAAGACTCCGTCTCAAAAAAAAAAAAAAAAAAAAAAAAAAAAAAAGACATGGATATCAAAACCACAAGGAGTTTTCAGAATGGACTTAAAATGACATTGATATTATCTACTAGAATTATCTATGTCAAATTGATTATACATCCCTTTATTTCTTTCTATTGAAATAAAAATGGAGGCCGGGCGCGGTGGCTCAAGTCTGTAATCCCAGCACTTTGGGAGGCCGAGACGGGTGGATCACAAGGTCAGGAGATCGAGACCATCCTGGCTAACACGGTGAAACCCCGTCTCTACTAAAAAAATACAAAAAACTAGCCGGGCGAGGTGGCGGGCGCCTGTAGTCCCAGCTACTCCGGAGGCTGAGGCAGGAGAATGGCGTAAACCCGGGAGGAGGAGCTTGCGGTGAGCAGAGATCCGGCCACTGCACTCCAGCCTGGGGGACAGGCCCCGACTCCGTCTCAAAAAAAAAAAAAAAAAGAAATGAAAATGGTAGTTAATGAAAAAAAAGAAAAACAGAATAAAATACCCCTTTACATCCATTAGGATGGCTATTATAAAAACAGCAACAACAGGAGAAAATAGGCCAGGTATAGTGGCTCATGCCTGTAATCCTAGCACTTCAGGAGGCCAAGGCAGCTGGATTGCTTGAGCCCAGGAGTTCAAGTCCAGCCTGGGCAACATGGCAAAACCCTGTCTCTATTAAAAATACAAAAAAGTAGCTGGAAGTGGTAGCACATGCCTGTAGTCCCAGCTACTTAGGAGGCTGAGGTAGGAGAATCACCTGAGCCCAGGAGTTGAGCCTGCAGTGAGCCGTGACTGTGCCACTGCTCTCCAGCTTGAGTGATGGGAATGAGACCTTGTCTCAGGAAGAAGAGAGAGAGAGAGAGAGAGAGAGAGAGCGAGAAATGGCTGGGCGCAGTGGCTCACATCTGTAATCCTAGCACTTTGGGAGGCCAAGGTGGGTGGATCACTTGAGGTCAGGAGTTTGAGAACAGCCTGGCTGACATGGTGAAACCCTGTCTCTACCAAAAAAATTAGCTGGGCATGGTGGCATGCTCCTGTAGTCCCAGCTACTGGGGAGGCTGAGGTGGGAGAATCCCTTGAACCTGGGAGGCAGAGGTTGTAGTGAGCCAAAGATGACGCCACTGCACTCCAACCTGGATGACAGAGCAAGACTCTGTCTCCAAAAAAAAAAGAAAAAGAAAGAGAGAGAAACAAGAAAATAAGTGATGGCAAAGATGTGGAGAAACTGGAGCCCTTGTGAACTGCTGGTGGGAATGGGAAGCAATGCAGCCCCTGTGGGAATCAGGATGGTGGTTCCTCAAAAAAAATTAAACACAGAATGACCACATGGTCCCGCCGTTCCACTTCTGGGTATGTACCCAAAATAACTGAAAGCAGGGTCTCAAATAGATATTTGTATGCCCATGTTCATAGCAACATTATTCACAAACCAAAAGTTAGAAAAAATCCCAATGTCCATGAATGGATAAACGAAATGTTGTATGAACACACAATTGACTACTATTCAGCCATAAAAAGAAAATAAATTCTGATACACGTTACAACATGGATGAAGCCTGAAGACATTATGCTAAGTGAAGAAGCCAGACACAAAAGGACACTGGGATTTTGTAAAGCTCCCAGGTGATTTTAAGGCTTAGCCTCTTCCTGTCCCTTCCCTCCCCTTCCTGCTAGGCTCAACCCAGCTTCACTCCAAACAAGCTTCCCAAGGCCACCAGTAGGCCTGAAGGGGCAGTTTTTATAAGGTGAATTGCACGGGACACAATGCACTCGGAAAGTTTCTTAGGGAGCCTCCATCTTAGGATGGGCTGAATTCACCCTTCCCAGTCTGCAGCTCCACACCTGGTCAGCCTCCCTGCTGACCACATCCCCTTCTCCCTAAGCAAATCCAGAGGCTTTGGGAACCTGCAGAAAAAGGGAGGAGTCTGGAATCACAGACCCCAGTGTTGGGAACATCTCCCTCCCAGGTCCCTTCTGGGACTGTCTCCCACAAAATGCTTCCTGCAAGACACCCCAGGGTACACCATAGGACCTTGCTGTACCTGTGCAAGATGTCTCCGATGTCCTAGGAGAGAAAAGAAGGAAACTGTCCATTATCAGGCTCCCAGAGGCTGTGCTGATACCTGGCCTCTACTCCTGGGCTCCTGGACTTTTAGCTCCCCTGCACTTACCAGGGCTCCCTGCCCTAGGGTGTCAGGGGAAGTGGAGCACCTTTCTTCAATTCTAATTCTAACCACAGGGATTCAGGCATCCCAGGTGGCGAGGCCTGCAATGGAACGACCCTCAAGCCCTGCTGATCCCTTCTGGGAAATGGCAGGGATCCCCTGGATGCTGGGCCACCCTGGGCTCCTGAGAGTCTTCATCAAAGGGTCTGGGCACAAGAGGCATTGTGGGTCACCAAGACCAAGTCCTATCCTAGGCCTTAGGGGCTTTACCCACTGGTGCCCGCACAGTTGATGGCAGAGCTGAGAGTCTGAGGCATCCTGATGGGCACAGGGGACCCAAGAAAGCCAGGCCCAGGCACACCCACCTGCAGAAGGTCCCATTCCGACTGGCACTGCTTGGTCTCCAGTTCCCCAATCAGCGCGTCGAGCAGGGTGATGTCCTGGGATATGCGGGTGTCGTATGCCTTCCTGATCTGCCCGACCATCTGGCCCACGTTCTCCAGCGAGGCCATAAAGACATGCTCTTGCTGCTCCAGAAAGTGGTACACCTGCTGCAGCTTCCTCTGCATCCGCTGCTTCAGCGCTTCAGTCTGTTTCTGGGGAGCAGAGGACAGGGAGGTATGGGGGTCTGTGCTTTGAGTGGACGTGTATGTCCAGGAACCCCCGGAGGCTCACCTCCTGGAGGTGGATAAAAGGTGGGCTTATGCTGCCTCTTCGAGGCCTAGATTCCACAGCAGGAGGCAATATTGTCTGGAACCTTCCAGAAGAGACTGAGCATGGCTGGGGCTAGCTCTGGGAAAATGTCCTCAAACCTGGTGTTAAGGTTTAACTGTGTCCCCTCCAAAATTTACATGTTGAAGCCCTAACCCCCAGTACTCAGAATGTGATCTTATTTGGACATAGAGTTCTTGCAGATGTAATTAGTTAAGATGTCTTACTGGAGTTGGGTGGGTCCCTAATCCAATATAAATGTTGTTTCATAAAATGGGGAAATTTGGGCTGGGTGCAATGGCTCATGTCTGTAATCCCAGCATTTTGGGAGGCTGAGGCAGGTGGATCACCTGAGGTCAGGAGTCTCAGGCTGCTTTCACCAGCCTGGCCAACATGGGGAAACCCTGTCTCTACTAAAAATACAAAAATTAGCCAGGCACGGTGATAAGCGCCTGTAATTCCAGCCACTCAGGAGGCTGAGGCAGGAGAATTGCTTGAACCTGGGAGGTGGAGGTTGGAGCGAGCCAAGATTGTGCCACTGTACTCCAGCCTGGGCAACAGAGTGAGACTCCACCTTGGGAAAAAAAAAAAAAAAAACAGAGGAGAATTTTAAAGTTAAAAGTGTTCTTGGCCGGTCGCGATGGCTCATGTCTGTTATCCCAGTACTTTGGGAGGCCAAGGCGGGCGGATTATGAGGTCAGGAGTTCGAGAACAGCCTGATCAACATGGTGAAACCCCATCTCTATTAAAATTACAAAAAATAGCCGGGCATAGTGGTGGGCGCCTGTAGTCCCAGCTACTCAGCAGACTGAAGCAGGAGAATCGCTTAAACCCGGGAGGCAGAGGTGCAGTGAGCCAAGATCATGCCACTGCACCTGGGTGACAGCGAGACTTCGTCTCAAAAAAAAAAAAAAAAAAAAAAAAATTGTGGCGTTGTCCTCCCCTTTCCTCAATCCCATCTTTCTGCGACAGTCACCGGCATAGGTTGCTGTATACTATCTTCTGGTGAGTATGAGAAAGCATGACAGGATCCTCAGAGGTGACCTCTGCCTGCTGGGGGTGGTCTCCCTCTACAGGGATGAGTTCACCCTTGGCTGCTGGTTACCCCTCTGCACCCTGAGAGGAGGTGGCCATCCCTGCTGCCCTGTGAACCACAGCAGAATCTCGGGGACCCCTGCTCACTCTTCTCACCCTCCTCCCAGGGAAGGATGGGCCACCAGCCACAACTGTCCTTACCAGAAAGTTCACTGCCTTGCCCTCCCCATAGGATCGCTGCTCCTCCCCTGATTTTCTCAGCTCCTTCAGATGCTCCAGCTGCTTCTGAATTTGCTTCTGGAAAAACAGCACTTGTTGAAAAGCTTGAATTTGGCTCCTGCCATCTTTAGCTGGTGCCAACTCTGGAGGGGAACATCTCCTTCTGGTAGCAAGGCTGAGGGTGCTGCTGCCAGCAGCATGGGAGGGGTGCTCAGAAAAGAGGAGGGAGGAATCGCTGCATCGCCAAAGGCAGCAGAGCTGAGAGGCACTTCCTCTGGGCTTCTGGATTTAGCCATACCTGAAACCAGCTCCCTCTGGATCTCTGAGCAACATAAACCTGTAACTCCCCTCTTTGCTGGACTGGTTTATATTGTGTTCTTGCCATTTCCAGCCCAGGAATGCTGGCTAATGCACCAACATCCCGGAGTTGTTGGGAAAATGAAGCAAGGCCCAGTGTGTCCAAGTGCCTGGCAGAGAAGGGCCCACAGGCAGGGAGTGCCTACCTTGTGTTCCAGGGCAGCCTCCTCAATGGGGCGTACCCGGTGGCCTCGATGCTCCTGACTCAGACTGCAGATGAGGCAGATGGGCTCACGGTGATCCTCGCAAAATAGCAGCTGGACCTGCTTCATGTGGCGCTTACACTGTGGAAGGGGCTGGGGGCTTAGACTTCCCATGCTCTTCCTTTCATGGGAGGCCTGGCACCGGGGGCAGTCAGGTGAGCGGCTGCCTGAGGCCTGGGGGTGCCCAGAAGCTGCCTCAGGGCAGCTGCAGGAATCACGCACACAGATATCGCCAACAGGGTCTCCTTCTTGGGCGTGGCAACGGGGACTCGCAGCCTTGTCTGGTGGCTTTCCTGGGGACATGCAGTGGAAAAATCCCCAGAATAGCAAACCCAAGTTGTTTACACAGAGGTATCACAAAACACAGCAGAAACAGCCCTTGCCTGAGATGTGTGAGTTCTTGGTTAGACTGCCCACTTCCTAGCTTGTCCTCCTCTGACTTCCATCCAGTGAGGCAGCAAACAGGCCACTGGGCCTGAGAGCTAAGGGCTAGACCTCAGACATTCCTGAGACTTGGAATTCTTGGGCATTTATCCTACAGACAGACCCACAGCCTTGTGCTATTCCTCCTGCACAGACATGGATCTAGCAGGTGATGCCAAGGAAAGAGACATTCTGACCAGTGTTCCTTTGCCACTTGAACCTATCCCTGGCTGCCCATAACATGAGTGGAGGCTCCCAGGGGATGGTGACTTGTGTGTGTCGCTCCCAGTTGGATCCCAGCCCCTAGCAGAGTACCCGGCAAATGGTAAGCATTTGGAAAACTAGTATTGAATGAAGGAATAAATAGACCACTGCTCACATCCGAGTTCAGTAACCATTCAATAAAAGCAAAGAAGGGGCTGCGTGGTGGCTCAAGCCTATAATCCCAGTGCTGTGGGAGGCCAAGGTGGGAAGATTGCTTAAGCTCAGGAGTTTGAGACCAGCCTGGGCAACATGGTAAGAGCCCATCTCTACAAAAAATTAAAAAATTAGCCAGGCGTGGTAGTGGGAACCTGTAATCACAGCTACTTGGGAGGCTGAGGCAGGAGAATTGCTTGAACCTGGGAGACGGAGTTTGCAGTGAGCCGAGATAACACCACTGCTCTCCAGTCTGGGTGACCAAGTGAGACTCCAACTCAAAAAAAAAAAAAAAAGAAATAGAAACACACTCAATCCTTTAGCCCCTCCTCCCTCCTTACCTCACAGTGTCCCAGAAATTCATAGCACATCTGTAAATGAGACTGCTAGTAGCCACTAGAAATTCTTCTTCCTCCTTCTCTCGTGATAGAATTGTCCACAGGACTGCTTCCCTTCTTCCCATTGCCCCCCAAATGCCCTGCATTTCTCAGCCTCCTTTGCAGTTAGGTGTGGCTATTTGACAATAATATGACCAAAGGGATGTAAATGGAGGGGTCACAAGCAGCTTCTAGAAATTTCTTTTTTTTTTTTTTTTGAGACGGAGTCTCGCTCTGTCGCCCAGGCTGGAGTGCAGTGGCCGGATCTCAGCTCACTGCAAGCTCCGCCTCCCGGGTTCACGCCATTCTCCGGCCTCAGCCTCCCGAGTAGCTGGGACTACAGGCGCCCGCCACCTCGCCCGGCTAGTTTTTTTTGTATTTCTTAATAGAGACGGGGTTTCACCGTGTTAGCCAGGATAGTCTCGATCTCCTGACCTCGTGATCCGCCCGTCTCGGCCTCCCAAAGTGCTGGGATTACAGGCTTGAGCCACCGCGCCCGGCCGCTTCTAGAAATTTCTAGAGCGTTCCCTAAGGGCTACTATTCCCCTCTGTTCCTCCATCTTGCTGCCTGGCATGAGGACGTCACCTTCTGAGAGCACGAGCTTGAGGACAAACTTGGTGGAGCAGAGCAACAGCAGGACCCCAGGATCCTGGCCCACGGATCTGCCTGGGACTGCCTGTGTATCATTTATGTGAAGGAGGCACAAACTTCTTTTCTGTTGAGGTTACTGTTATTTGGGTGTTTCTATTATTCACAACCAAACATAATTTTAATGACTACCTCAGCAGTAGATAATTAGGACTTTAGCCAATAGGCTTTCCTTTCTGCTCAGAGAAAGGCAAATGGTAGAATCTCAACCCCATTATGACACATTGCTGTGAGGTTATTGTGAGAGTATTTTTAACCAGTCTTCCCCAGATTTTCTAGCTGGTGTCCACAAACCCCTTGGATTCTTTTTTTTTTTTTTTTTTTTTTTGAGATGGGGTCTCGCTCTGTCACCCAGGCTGGAGTGCAGTGGTGCAATCTCGGCTCACTGCAAGCTCCGCCTCCCGGGTTCACGCCATTCTCCTGCCTCAGCCTCCAGAGTAGCTGGGACTACAGGTGCCCGCCACCACGCCCGGCTAATTTCTTTTCGTATTTTTAGTAGAGACGGGGTTTCACCGTGTTAGCCAGGATGGTCTCGATCTCCTGACCTCGTGATCCGCCTGCCTCGGCCTCCCAAAGTGCTGGGATTACAGGCTTGAGCCACCGCGCCCGGCCAAACTCCTTGGATTCTAAAGATGGACTTCAGAGTGTCCAAGAACTACCTGAAATTTGATGTGACATTTGTGAAGCTGTGCATATATGCATTTTTCAGGGTCTAAGCCTGCACCAGATTAACAAAGTGGCCCCAGGAGGCACCCAGGAATCCCAATTATATAAATACAGTGGGGATCCGGTGCAGTGGCTCACACCTGTAATCCCAGCAGTTTGGGAGGCAAAGATGGGAGGATTGTTTGAGATCAGGAGTTCGAGACCAGTCTGGGCAACATAGCGAGACCCCATATCTAAAAATATATATATAAAATAAAAATTTAAAAAAATACAGTGGGGATAAAAGAAAATTAGGGGGGAAGTACTTTAGTACTTTTCAGGTCACTATTCCTAAGGATGCTAGGTTTTCCAGATCCCAGGGTCCTTTCTCACTAGAAGACCCAGGGACTTCTGGATTTGAAGACTTATGCAGTATACTACGTCCTGTTCCCTCCCAGGTCTCAGGGGTCCCTGGACCCCCAAATCTTTTTTTTTTAGAGTTTTGCTTTTGTTGCCCAGGTGGAGTGCAATGGCGTGATCTCGGCTCACTGCAACCTCTGCCTCCTGGGTTCAAGCAATTCTCCTGCCTCAGCCTCCTGAGTAGCTGGGATTACAGACACCTGCCCCCATGCCCGGAAATTTTAGAATTTTTAGTAGAGATGGGGTTTCACCATGTTGACAGGCTGGTCTTGAACTCCTGACCTCAGGTGATCCGCCCCCATTGGCCTCCCAAAGTGCTGGGATTACAGGCATGAGCCACCACACCCGGCCTGGACCCCCAGTTCTAGTTTTCCTCTTTGAATGCTGTGATTTCTCCTCTCCAGCCAACAATGTATTAGAAAGTGTGTTCCACAGGCTGGGTGTAGTGGCTCACACCTATCACTTTTAGAGGCTAAGGCAGGTGGATTGCTTGAGCCCAGGAGTTCAAAACCAGCCTGGGCAACATAGCGAGCCCTACTTTCTACAAAAAATACAAAAAAAAAAAAAAAAAAACCACCAGTGTGGTGGTGAGCACCTATAGTCCCAGCTACTCGGAAGGCTGAGGTGGGAGGATCGCTTGAGCCCAGGAGGTTGAGGGTGCAGTAAGCTGTGATCACACTACTGCACTCCAGCATGGAAGACAGACTGAGACTCTGTGTCAAAAAAAAAAAAAAGAAGGTGTGTTTCTGAATGCTGCCCCCACCACAAGCATGGAATTGTCACCTGGACAACCTCAATCCCCTCTAAACTGGTGGCATTTTTCTTTTACAGTTTTTCTCTGGTCTCTTTACCTATAGGGACAGCTGCTTTAAAAAATCCAGATGGCCTGGAGCCGCCTGATCCCTTGCCAAAAACCAGAGGAAGTTAAGATCAGAGCAAAACCAGTGCAAACTGGAACAGGTAACTTCCAGTTACCTTTAGATCATTTACACATCATTATAAGGCTAAAGGCCCCTCCCCTAAAAGAAGATGGCCAGGGTTTCATGTCCATGCGATGTAGGAAAAAGCACGCTCGGGACAGCGCCTTCATATATGGAACCCTGCCCTGGACCTGCTTACCTACCTCCCTTCCCCTCCTGGGACTCTAAAATCCCCCTGCCTCCCATCCCTGGCAAGCAGATGCCTGCAGAGGTGAGCTCCCCTTCTCTATTCTTTGGCCACTGAATAAAACCTGACTGCCTTTTCAATTGGACATTCTTTCTTTCTTTTTTTACCCCCCCAAAATGTTTAAGAGACAGGGTCTTGCTGTGTTGCCCAGGCTGGAGTGCAGTGTCACAACCTCAGCTCACTGAGGCCTGGAACTCCCTGGCTCAAGCAATCCTCCTGCCTCAGCTTCTCGAGTAGCTAGAATTACAGGCGTGTGCCACCACACCCATGTAATTTTTTTTTTTTAGTTTTGTAGAAGTGGAATCTCGCTACGTTGCTCAGGCTGGAGTGCACTGGCATGATCTTAGCTCACTGTAGCCTGGAACTCCCCCTGCTCAAGTGAGCCCGAGCAGCTGGCACTATAGGCATGTGCCACTATTGCATTTTTTGTAGAGATGGGGTCTCACTGTGTTGCCTAGGCTAGTATGGAACTCCTGGGGTCAAGAGATCTTCCCCTGCAGGCCTCTCAAAGCTCTGGGATTACAGGCGTGAGCTATGGCGCCCTGTCCAACCTTTGGGTTTTTATTTTTTTTAATTTTATTTATAGACATGGCGGGGGTCTCACTATGTTCACCAGACTGGTCTCAAACTCTTGGCTTCAGCAATCCTCCAGCCCTGGCCTCCCAAAGTGCCGGGATTACAGGCGTGAGCTATCGTGCCCGGCCAGCTGTTCGTTCTTTGCAGCCGATATAAAGTAGGAAAAAACACAATTTACCGGTGACCGAATGTTCTGGATTCCCAGGGCCTTTCTCCAGGTCCGCAGACGCCCCTCCATCCGGAGTGGGCCTTGCCTGAGCGCCTGTTGCCGAGTCCGGATTCGCAGCTGTCGTTTCCTCTACAGTCAGGAGAGTTTCTGGATTTGGGGGCGCCTTCTCCCCTGTGAAAATGGAGAGCTCAAGGCTTTTAGGCCGCTTCTTTCCCGAGGGCAGGTCCACTTCAAAGGACCTGCACTCCTTCCACCCCGGCGCGCCCCCCGCCAGCCTCGGGGAGCTGGCGTTCCTGCGCGGGGGACCGTTGGCCTGGCCCCGCTCTGGCGCGCTGCAGGGGCTGGGGCCGGGGCTTCTCCCTCGGGTCTGGGTCCGAGGCTTGCCCTGCGCGTCCAGGCTCTCTCTGCATTTGCTCGAGGGCTTGCTTGACAGCCCCCTCCCGGCCTCGGGCTGGCTGTACCGCGGGCTGGCAGCCCAGTCCCCGCACGACCGAGGGCCGTTCCCCTCCTTTCCCTCCTTCACCTCGGGGTGGTCTGGAGTCTTCAGGCTCCCGGGCTTGTTCTCCTCCAGGGAGCTGGACGCTGCGGAATCGTCTGTGCCATTTTCTTGTGTGGAATATTCTGGAAAGACAACCAGCTGCAAAGTCATGAAGCTGTCCCGCGTTTAGGGCCCAAGATTCAGGGGAGAGGAGAGAGAATCCCCATGGATATTAAAGTTTAGAAATGGAGGAAAAAACGGGCCGGGCACGGTGGCTCATGCCTGTATTCCCAGCACTCTGGGAGGTTGAGGCGGGAGGATCACCTGAGGTCAGGAGTTCAAGACCAGCAGGGTGAAACCCTGTCTCTACTAAAAATACAAAAATAAGCTGAGCGTGGTGGCATATGCCTGTAATCCTAGCTTCCCGGGAGGCCAAGTTGGGAGGATCATTTGAGGTCATTTGAGGTCAGGAGTTCGAGACCAGCCTGGCCAACATGGCAAAACCACGTTCCTACTAAAAATACGAAACAGCCAGACGTGGTGGTGTGCACCTGTAGTCCCAGCTACTCTGGAGGCTGAGGCATGAGAATCGCTTGAGCCTGGGATGTGGAGGTTGCAGTGAGCTGAGATTGCGCCACTGCTCTCCAGCCTGAGTGACAAAGTAAGACTCCATCTCAAAAACAAAAGTTCAGGACTTCCTAGACAACGGCAGTCAATTACCATTCAGTAAGAACATGCTTGATGTTGCTATATATTTCTCTCTCTCTTATTTTTTGAGACCAGATCTTGCTCTGTGGCCCTGATGTGATCTCGGTTCACTGCAACCTCTGCCTCCCCGGCTCAAGCGATCCTCTCACATCAGACTGTTTTCTGTTTTTTCAATAGCTGAGAATACAGGTGTGTGCCACCACGCCTGGCTCATTTTTTTGTATTTTTAGTAGAGACAGGGTTTCACCATGTTGGCCAGGCTGGTCTCGAACTCCTGAGCTCTAGCAGTCTACCCACTTTAGCCTCCCAGAGTGCTGAGATTATAAGTGTGAGCCACCATGTATTTCTCAAATAGTACTTTTCAAACGTTGTAAGCAGGACAACTGTTTCAAATAAGATCTTACACAGGTCAGCAAAACCCAGATTATACGTTTCAAAAATAAAAATAAGCCAGGCACGGTGGTCCATGCCTGAAATCCCAGCACTTTGGGAGGCTGAGGCGGGAGGATCACTTGAGGTCAGGAGTTTGAGACCAGCCTGGCCAACATGGTGAACAGCACTGAGAAGATTCTATACCAACCCTGTTCATATGATTGCATAGCAATCCCTTTTTGCTAACCTAGAGATGTTTGTCTGACATGAATATTAATCATAAATGAAGTGAAGAAGTCTCAAAGAACAGGTGCTCCAGCTCCTGCCTTTCCTGACCCTGACCTGCTTCTTTAAAACCCATTGGGAGCCTTAAGGAAGTTTACTAACCCAGTGCCAAAAGCCAGAGTGAAGGAAGGGACGTTCCTGAACTAAAGTCACCTGGATCTTGGTAGACCTGAGACTCCCGACCCCCAAGTCAGAGTGAGCTGCTCTGAGCTCCTGGTCCCTTTTCCCACAAAGCAACCAGCCCTCAGCGCTGGGTGAGGAGGCAGCCTGGGCCTGCTTACTCTGAACGGCTGCCCTGTGGAGCTCCTCAGCCAGCAGGCGCTGGTTGATGGCCCGCAGGACCTGCAGGGTCAGCCGCACAGCGTACTCTTCCCCGTAGTAGGTGACCAGCAGATCGGCCATCTTCACTGGCTTGGCTCTCTGGATCTGGCTCCGGGGGATCCTGGAGTGCTCCTTCTCCACACTGGTGTTCTGCAGCTTGAACTTGAACTTGTCAAAGTCATAGGGCACCAGCTCCTCCAGGGTGGACAACAGATGGTCACTAGGGGTCTTGTCCATGGCGCTGAGCAGGAGAGGCTGGAGCCAGCTGTCTGGCTTCTGGCAGGAGAAGAAGCCTCTACCTTGGTGAGCAAGAAAAGGCAGGTTGTGAAATAGCGGAAAAGGCACAGGAAATGCTCTCTGTCTTGGTGGGAACTGAGACTAAGGGTAAGGGTGTGTCCATGCTGGCTGTGTTCTCTTCTCACAGGTTCAGAGGATTTTCCAGCTGGGAGGGCTCAGTGCCTTGGCAGACATGTGTCCCCACACCCCTCCCAAACCCTGGACCTCATCTCCACACTAGACCACAGACAGGTGGGCAAGACTGCAAGGGAAGGTCTGGGATTGGATTCCAGACAACCCCTCCAATCTCCCTTCCTGCCAGGATCTGGGGCTGGCAGAGCGGGTCAATGGGAACAGAGAGGACTATGCTGAGGGCCAGCCCTGCTGGTCAACTGTTCTCCTCCAGACTCAGGGTTTCACAGACCCTCCAGAGCCAATGGCATGGGATGGGGGAAGGGGTGGGCAGTGAATACAGCCCCGTGAGCTTTGCCTTTCCTGGCCCAAGAAGGCAAGTGAGGCCAGAAGGGCACTGCCGGGGGATAACTCTTGCCACGCCATCACCCCTGTTGATCCAGTTCCAGTTGTCTGGTTCTTCCAGCCACATGAAGGGCTTGAAAAGCAATGCCTCAACCACCAGCCTGACTCATCTGTTCCCAGAGCTGACTCAGTTCTCGCTCCCTGGAGCCAGAATGCCCTTCCATGCACATTCACTGAACATTCTAGACAGTGTGCCAGGATGCTGGAGCTACAGGGGTGAAAAGGCACGGGTGTCCTTCAGCTCATAGTCTGGTGCAGGGCCCCAGAGGTGGCTTTGAAGCTAACAGAAGTTACATGTTGGGGGCTGGGCGTGGTGGCTCACGCCTGTAATCCCAGCACTTTGGGAGGCCAAGGTGAGTGGATCACCTCAGGTTGGGAGTTCAAGACCAGCCTGGCCAACATGGTAAAACCCCATCTCTACTAAAAATACAAAAATTAGCCAGGCATGGTGGCACGCGCCTGTATTCCCAGCTACTCGGGAGGCTGAGGCAGGAGAATCGCTTAAACGCGGGAGGCGGATGTTGCAGTGAGCCGAGATTGTGCCATTGTACTCCAGCCTGGGCGACAGAGTGGGACTTTGTCTCAAAAATAAATAAATAGGCCGGGCGCGGTGGCTCAAGCCTGTAATCCCAGCACTTTGGGAGGCCGAGACGGGCGGATCACGAGGTCAGGAGATCGAAACCATCCTGGCTAACCCGGTGAAACCCCGTCTCTACTAAAAAATACAAAAAACTAGCCGGGCGTGGTGGCGGGCGCCTGTAGTCCCAGCTACTCGGGAGGCTGAGGCAGGAGAATGGCGAGAACCCGGGAGGCGGAGCTTGCAGTGAGCTGAGATCCGGCCACTGCACTCCAGCCTGGGCGACAGAAGCGAACTCTGTCTCAAAAAAAAAAATAAAAAAAATAAATAAATAGGGCCGGGCGCGGTGGCTCAGCCCTGTAATCCCAGCACTTTGGGAGAGCGGAAACAGAAGGCGAGATCACGAGTCAGAGGTCAGAGACCATCTTAGCTAACAGGGTGAAACCCCGTCTCTACTAAAAATACAAAAAACTAGCCGGGCGTGGTGGCAGGCGCCTGTAGTCCCAGCTACTTGGGAGGCTGAGGCAGGAGAATGGCGTAAACCCGGGAGGCGGAGCTGCAGTGAGCTGAGATCCGGCCACTGCACTCCAGCCTGGGCGACAGAGCACAGTGAGCTGAGATCCGGCCACTGCACTCCAGCCTGGGCGACAGAGCAAGACTCCGTCTCAAAAAATAAATAAATAAATAAATAAAAATAAATAATTACTTGCATACCCTAATTTTTAAATTCTTTGTTTTTAGATAGGGTCTTGCTCAGTCACTCAGGCTGCAGTGCAGTGGCCGGATCTTGGCTCAATGCAACTTCTGCCTCCTGGGCTTGAGCAACCCTCCAACCTCAGCCTCCCAAGTCGCTGGGACTACAGCTGCATGCCACAACATCCGGGTAATTTTTGTATTTTTTTATAGAGACAGGGTCTCACTATGTTGCACAGGCTGGTCTTGAACTCCTGAGCTCAAGCGATCCACTCGCTTTGGCCTCCCAAAGTGCTGGGATTACAGGTGTGTAATCCCTGTAATCTTGCCACTGTGCCTGTCCAGAAGTTTTGTTAATAATGCAATTTACCTTTCACCAACACTTCCTCTGCACCAGCCACCACTTGCTTTATAAACACTACCTCCTAGAATCTCTAGGACTGTACCCTGCAGGACTGCATTTATCATCCTCCTCTGCAGCCAAGAATCTGTAGCTTAGTGACTTGCCCAGAGCCAGGATCCAAACATCAAACCACTTCACAACATCGTCTCCTGCATGACAATAATTTGTGATTTTACTATTCATGACTACCCATGGATGTCACATTTCCAGCTGACCACTGAGGTCCAGGATGGGTCACTTCCACAGGTCAGTCACAACATTGTGATGCCTAGCTGAACACTCATCTCTGGGTGTGAGCGCCTCTGTGTATGCCCAGCCAGGTGTTCAAGGCTTTGATGAGTTCTGATTGGTTGAATTTTACTGTCCAGCTGGTCCACCTGTTATCTGTCTCACAGAGTATTTGGTGCTTTTGCTTTATTTTCATAGCTGACAACAAACATGCAGTTCACTAGATCTTTCTGAGCCCAACATCTTCCCTAAAAAGTGGGTGAATTGGGCTGGGTGTAGTGGCTCACACCTGCAATCCCAGCCCTTGGGAGGCTGAGACAGGAGGATTACTTAAGCCCAGGAGTTTGACATTAGCCTGGGCAACATAAGGAGACCCTGCCTTTACAAGAAATAGAAAAAATATTAGCTGGGTGTGGTGGCACACACTGGTGGTCCCTGCTACTCAGGAGGCTGAGGCAGGAAGACTGCTTGAGCCTAGGTTGAGACTGCAATGAGCTGTGATTGCACCACTGCTCTCCAGCCTGGGTGACAGAGCAAGACACCCTATCTCAAAAAAAAAAACAAAAAAAAAAACCATGGGTGAAATGCACATTGATGGTGCAGATGACACATTTTTGGAATTTTTAGGCTGAGCCAGAAGAAGGGTGTTGACTAGGGTATCACTGGGGCCAGCACCTGTCCCTGATTCTGGACAGTGGCAACCCAGCACCTCCCAGGCAGTCTCCCACTACCAGATGGAGAAAGGATGAGACTGTGCAGTGATGCGGTGGGTGCTGTGTGATCCCATCTTGACTGGTCAGAAAACTCCTCGGAACTGAGATCAAAACCCCATGACAGAATTGGGCAGGGAACGATACTTTCTGGTCTAAAGCAGGATATTTTGCAATTGTGGTGACACGTTTTGCAACAGAGGCTGTTCTGAGGCACGACTTCTGGAAGGCAGTGTTTTGACGCCACTTTGGACTTTCTAGGGCAAGGCAGGCTCACAAAGCTTTTGTTTGGAGGGGTTCCAGTAATTTCTCAGAGTGAAAATAGAATTATTGCCCTTGTAATGTCATTTAAGTGTTTAATAATCAAAGTGGAATGGTCATGGGCTCTCTTGTGTGCCCCTGCCATTGGATGTGTGACCTTATTTGGGGGGACATGGCAAATCTAAACCCTACGAAGCTGCTGCAAAGGGTCCACTCTCTGCTGTTATTCCTGGGAAATGTGTGGCTCGGACGCCACGACCTTCACTCCAGTCCTGGTCACCAGGGGTTTCACTTTCTATGGCATTCACTTCTGCACATTTTGGGATTTCAAAAAATGAAGATTTTATTACATTCGTAATAAGCAAAAAAGATAGCTTTAAAAAGTGTTTCAGGCCGGGTGCAGTGGCTCACGCCTGTAATTTCAACACTTTGGGAGGCCGAGGCGGGTGGATCACTTGAAGTCAGGAGTTCAAGACCAGCCTGGCCAACGGGGCAAAACCTCATCTCTAATGAAAATACAAAAATTAGCCAGGCGAGGTGGCACGCACCTGTAATCCCAGGTACTCCGGAGGCTGAGGCAGGAGAATTGCTTGAACCCGGGAGGCGGAGGTTTCAGTGAGCCAAGGTTGCACCACTGAACTCCAGCCTAGGCAACAGAACATGATTCTGTATTATAAAAAAAAAAAAAAAAAAAAAAAAAGTCTTTCAGAATTAGCTTAACTTCTAAGGAAATATGAGTCCTGTGCCCCTAAACCATCATGAAAAGGAGGTATATAGTATGTATCCATTTATTTATTTATTTTATTTTGAGACGGAGTCTCACTCTATCACCTGGGCTGGAGTGTAGTAGCAAGATCACGGCTCACCGCAACCTCCGCCTCCTGGGTTCAAGTGATTCTCCTGCCTCAGCCTCCCGAGTAGCTGGGATTACAGGCGCCCGCCATTACGCCCAGCTAATTTTTTTATATTTTTAGTAGAGACAGGGTTTCACCATGTTGGCCAGGCTGGTCTTGAACTCCTGACCTTGTGATTCACCTGCCTTAGCCTCCCAAAGTTCTGGGATTACAGGCGTGAGCCACTGTGACCAGCCAACTATTTTTTTTATAGATGACAAAATGTAGGCTTAGAGGTAGGGTGACCAACACGTTTTGCTTAGGAGCAAAACCCAATGTGCCCAGTCTTAGCACTGAAAGCCTAGTTCTGGGAACGACCTCAGTCCTGGGAAATTGGGACAATTGCCCACCCTGTGTAGATGGGTTACTTGACATACTGAATACATGTCTAGCTAGGAAGAGGCACCACAGGGCCATTAATTTACTCATAGAGCACCTGCTGTATGCCAGATGCTCTTCTAGGTACTATGGATACAGAACTGAACAGGATAAAATTTCTCGCAGAGCTCACGTTCTTTTTTTTCTGATATAAATGCCCTTCAGAAAAAGCCACATTCTGTTTTTTTTTTCCTATCTACTTGGGTCTCTTCGGAGATGGAATTTCACTTTGTCGCCCAGGCTAGAGGGCAGTGGCACAATCTCACCACTGCAACCTCTGCCTCCAGTGTTCCAGCGATCCTCCTGCCTCAGCGTCCCAAGTAGTTGGGATTATAGCCACCCACAACCATGCCTGGATAATTTTTGCATGTTTAGTAGAGACTAAAATGTACCATGTTGGCCAGGCCGGTCTCGAACTCCCAGCCTCAAGTCATCTATCCACTTCAGCCTCCCAAAGTGCTGGGATTACAGGCGTCAGCTACTGCGCCTAGCCAAGAGCCCACATTCTTATAGGAAAGTGTGAATTGATATAAACAAACAAATACACAGTGTATCAGGGAGTGATAAATCGGGGGAAAAAAGAGCAGAATAATAGTTTTAGTGAGTACAGGGGATTGGTTTCATATTTTATTTTTTATTTTTATTTATTTATTTTGAGACAGAGGCTCACTCTGTTACCCACGCTGGAGTGCAGTGGCACGATCTTGGCTCACTACAACCTCTGCCTCCGAGATTCAAGTGATTCTCCTGTCTCAGCCTCCCAAGTAGTTGGGATTACAGGTGCACACCACCATGCCTGGCTAATTTCTGTATTTTTAGTAAAGACGGGGTTTCACCATGTTGGCCAGGCTGGTCTCGAACTTCTGACCTCAAGTGATCCGCCTACCTTGGCTTCCCAAAGTGCTGGGATTACAGGCTTGAGCCACTGCCCCCGGTTTCACATTTTAATAGGGCACTTGAAGAAGGCTTTTGTGCTTGAACAGAGACCCAAAGGAAGAGGAGTAAGCCAGGTATTCATTTTGAGGATGAGCAGTCTTTGCCTATTTACAGAGTGCAAAAGGGGTAACTTTGTGCTTAGTGTTTGAGGAAGAGTGGTGGCTGGAGCAGAAGCAGAGAGGAGGAGTGGATGGAGGGGTTAGAGAGGGAACTGGGGTCGCCTATCAAGTAGGAGGGCTCCCAGGTCACAGCA